GGCCGCCTCACTTCGGCGAAGTTGGCGGCGCGGAGGCTGGCCCGGGACGCGCCCGGAGCCCAGTGAGGGAGGGAGGAGGGAGGGTCGCGGCCGGCCGCCATGGGGCCGGGGGCCCGGGGCCGCCGCCGCCGCCGCCGTCTGATGTCCCTGCCATCGCCACCATCTCCTGTGCGCGCGCTGCCCCTGCTGCTGCTGCTAGCAGGGCCGGGGGCTGCAGGTGAGGGGCTCCGGATCTGGCGGGCGGGACAGGAACGCGGGGGAGGGGGAGTGCGAGAACTTCCCAAGTCTGGGGCTGGGGGATCCTGGGAGTCAGAGAGCAAAGCCAGGGTAGGGGTGCAGGAGCTGGATTACGTGCCAGTCCTGGGGGATGCGGGGTACGGGCACTCAGAATGAGGGGCAGGGCGCCAGAGGAAAAGAGACCCTTGAGCAATTGAGGCTGGAGATGAAGGGACCCAAGGATCTGAGACAGAGCTGGAGGTGAGGGGATCAGGGACTCGAGATGGGGGGGTACCAAGAATCCGGTGTTCGCCTCATCTCATCCCTGCTTGCAGTCCTGATAGGTTACCACTGGGGCCGAAGTACCCCGAGGCCGAGGACCCCTCTCACAAAAGCCCCAGCCCTCGACACCCCGGGCGGGCCGGGCCGGGCTTGGCGGGGGGCGGGGAGGGGGCGCGAAGTTCTCGGAGCTCTGAACTCGGAGAAAACTTCCCAGGCCGGAGCGCAGCAAAACCCGGAGCCGGAGTGGGAGCTGGAGCCACAGCAGCGCCCGCGCCCCCTCCCTCGCCTGCGGCCCCACTCCCAGTTCTGGGAGCCGTGATCCTGCAGACCCCGGACCCCGCCTCTGTGCGGGGAGGGGAAGGGGAGAGGGCCCACGTGCTCCTCTCGCGCTTCAGCTCCCCCTTCGGCGGCCCGAGCCCCTCCCCACTCGGCCAGGGCCCCCCGCCCCTCCTCCTCTCCTCTCTCCCCTCCCCCGCTCGGGACAATGGCTGCGCCGTCTAGACACCCCCTCCCCCCGGCCGGCCTCGCGCTTTCTTTGCCAGACAAAGCGGGACAGGCTACGGGGCCTGAACGGGGGCTGCTGGGGCGCCCCCCCCCCTCCCCAGGAGTCCTGGTCGGCGGGGGAGGGGCCCGGCGGATGGCCGGGCAAGGGGTCTCAAGACGCCACTGTGGGGGTCAGCGCAGTGGCCGGGTGGGGGTTTCTGGAGGGTATGGCCTCACTGGACCATCCCAGGGCCCAACTGGGCAGGAGCAGCCGCCCCGCAGAACCGGCACACTCATGGTCTGTCACACACTTGCAGGCACACACAGCTCTGGGTCACACACTTATGGAGATGCAAACGTGCATGCACACAGACCCAGTACATGTAGACGTGAACACTTGGTGCACACAAGATACACCCAGATGCACACAGTTCACACGTCCACATGCCTGGACACACAAATATGATCACACATGCCATTCCTAGCCCAAGCCTGGCACACACACGCTGTCTGCACACACTCGGATACCCACAGATACAGATTCAAGAACATGCCTACACCCCACTCACACGTGCAGAGAAGCACATCCAACTGCTACATAGACACACCCATGTACAGTTGTATCCCAGTTCAGGCAGGCCACATGTGTGGCTCACATGGCGCACAGCACAGCAGTGTAAGGGTTTGGGGAGGAAATGGCTCATGTCACACAGCCACCAGTGTAGTTCACAAATACCCACAGTCTGGGTGACAGTGCCCTGAATTTGTCATGTTGGCCATTCTTTTTTGGGGGATGGGTGCTGGAGATTGAACTCAGGGCACTTGACCACTGAGCCACATCCCCAGCCCTATTTTGTATTTTATTTAGAGACAGGGTCTCACCGAGTTAGCGCCTCGCCATTGCTGAGGCTGGCTTTGAACTCACCGATCCTCCTGCCTCAGCTTCCTGAGCTGCTGGGATCACAGGCGTGTGCCACACCACCTTACCTGGCTCCATTCTCATTCTTATTCTGTTACTGTCTCTCCCTATCTCTGTCTTTGTCCTCTTTCTCCTCTCTGTGTATTCCTACTTCTAGTTTCTTCGTTATGTCTCCCTGTTTCTGTTTTTCTCCAAATCCCTCGCTCTTTCCATCTGTCTTTGAGACACACACACACACACACACAGTGGCTCACACCTGCTTGTACACATTCAATTCTCCACTAGCTCTGTCTCAGCCACACCCCTGACCCACCTGAAAGGACAGTTAGACTTTGCCACACCCAAGAGGGACACAGCCCTCAGGGATGGGGACTCCGGACAGGGCAGCACTTGTCATTTGCCAGCTGCCCCTCCCTACAACACACACCCTATCCCTGTGACACCTGTAGTTGGCTCTCCTTGTAACCTTCACTCACTCCTGAGTACATGCCTTGACCCCTCTTCCAAGAGTTAACACACAGACCTCCTAGCTGGAATAGGTGCTCATCATCAGGTGAAGGGAGACCCTGAGACCCAAGAGTCCCTGCACCTCCATTATCCTTAGACCTGGACGTGAAGTCACATGCTTTCTAACCTTCAGCACACTCACTTCCTGACTCTGCACTCCCCTTTCTGCACATCTTAGTTCTGGCAGCTTCCTGAGCCCCCACATCTGGCACAAGCCAGTCCCTCCTTCTTCCCGCCCCTGCCTTGTGGTTCCCAGGGCTAGAGCTGGCAGGGACAGCTGCAGCCTTAACAGCTGGGGCCAGGGCGGGGGCCGTGGGAACCGTAGGTAGGGGGCCTCCCTGCACCCACAGAGACACCCCCAGCCCAGTGCAGCTGTTGCCTGGCAGAGGAAGGGAGGGGGTCTGTCACTCGGATTGGGGTTCTTGGGCACCCAGCTGACCCCTCACCTTCCTTTGCCCCCCGCAGCCCCCCCTTGCCTGGACGGAAGCCCGTGCGCAAATGGAGGTCGTTGCACCCAGCTGCCCTCCCGGGAGGCTGCCTGCCTGTGAGTGCCTGGCACAGCGCCATCAGTGGGCCTTGCGTGGGAAGGGAGTCTTCTTCCTCTGCCTCTGTGTTCCCCGTGGGTGCTTGTACCACTTCCTACATGTGTGTGGCTTGGGCAACCTCTTTGTGTTGACCCATTGGAAACTGAGCAGGGTTAAAAGCAGGGGCTCTGGAGTCTGCCTGGGCTGGATTCAAATCCCACATCATGTTGCTCACTGGTTGAGAATTAAACCCTTTAAATCTCAGTGTCCTGATCTGGAAAATGGGCCTAGTAACCCCGACTTCATGGAGGTCTAGGCCTCTTGAGGTCATATTTAAAGGCTCTTAATGAAGGCAGCTCTTAATTAACAAACTTTCAGGGTCCAAATTATAGGGATTTAGTAGTGGTGAGGACATCATTCATTAGCTACCATATCTCAAAACTTTAATAGTGGGGGTACAGGAGGCCTATAATGCAGTTGTGCTGTATGACCTTTGTCTAGGCACTTCCCCTCTCTGAACCTTACTGCATTTGTGAATAGGAATGCTTCTCCCTGGCTTGTGACTGTGAAGAAGCCCAAGTATTTAGTTCTTCCCTAATAACAAGGAAAGGCAGGGGGTTGGAGGAGCAGAGTTGTGGCTGAGAAAGAGCCGAGCAGAGAGTCAGAGCTGGGTTTGAATTCTGGGCTCTGGGACACCTTGAGCAAACACTCGGAGCTTTCTCAGCCTCAGTTTTTGCATCTGAAAAATGGGGCAATAATAGCTCTCCCTTTATGGGATTGACTGTGAGGCATATCATAGGATATGCTCAGGGTACAGCAAGTAATAAATAAATACTCATAAATAATAATGATAGGAAATAATGCTCAAGGTTATAGGGAAAGGCTTGGCTCCTTTTATAACAGGTAATAGCAGTTCACCCAGTAGCCATTAATGGATTCATTAAGGTATTTATTTATTCAACAGAATGTGTGCCAGACACTGGGTCAGGCTCAAGCTGGGTGGGTCTAGGGCGATTTTAGACCCAGAAGAGCCCCTTCGAAGTTTCATCGCACTTACTTTAGCTAGAACCCCACTTAGGTTTACCTCTTTGGGATGCTAAAGCTGGCTGGGGGGGTTACTGGGGCTGAGTGTCTGCGATGGTGGGGCTAGGGGAAAGTGTGATCTTACCTGGAACCACTTTGGAGCTTAAGCCCCGGGGCTCGGACGCCTGCGCATTGGAACTCCAAGCCTGGAATACTGCCGACAGGTGAATGCGCCCGAGGCTGCCCCGCCCCTCGACAGGTGAATCACCGGCACACTTGGCCTCCCGGAGCCCGGATCGCCCGGAGTGGAGCGGGCTCAGTTTCCAGAGCAAGGCTGTAGGGGAACCATTTCCTATACTCCCCAATTCCCCAGCAATCACAAGGTCTCAAATATTCCTGTCCTTTTAGGGGTACCTCAAACTCTCCCTCTCCCTATAGATCCCCGAGTCACCTCCCCAAAGTAGGATTCAAGCCCTCGTCCTTATTGCCTAATCCTCGCTTCCCCCACTTTGCCAGCAGGCCGGTCCCCCCCCCCCCCAAGCCCGCGCTCCCCCCTCGATCTCCCCCAAAGCTCAGGCCGTGGGGCGGGGCGCGGGCTGGGGCTGGAACCGGCCCGACCGGTCGGCGGGGGCGCGGGCGTAGAGCGTGGGAACCCGCCCGGGGCGTAGGGAGGGGGCCGCGCGGGCCGCGCCCTGCCTGGCGGTGGGACCCGCCGTCCAAGGCGCCCGGCAAGCGCGCCCCCTCCCGGCGCACGATCGCGTTCGTCGTGGTATCCCTGCGGGCTTTTGGGGAGGGGGCTGAGGGCTGTACCCTCGGCTCCTAACGCCACCCGCGCCCTTGCCGGCTGTGCCCCGACTTGTTTCGCTGGGGGCCGGGGTGGGGGGACATTGTGGTGACGCTAAGAACTGAGTCACCTGCTTGAGTTCGGTCCCAGGCGTCTGGGACAAGCCCGGGGGGGGGGGGAGGGAACCGACGAAAGTAGCAGGGGAGGGATGGGGCGGGCACAGGGAGAGCGCGGGGTGGAATGGGCCGGGACACTGCCAAGACAGCCTGGACCCTCTGGCTTGCCAAGCCCCTCCCTCAGAATCCTTTCTCCGAGGGTCCCCTGGAAGTTTCCAAACTCAAGACCAATCCTCTCTCCCTTTCTCATTTCCCTTACACTCAAGGCTGCCTTTGTGGGCTTGGGGAGGGGTCTGCAGACGGAAGGGTCTTCCCCAACATGAGGGTGGAGGTCCCCTTCCACAAAGCCCAACCCTCCTGCATGGGAGAAAATTTGCATGAATCCTGGAGAAAGGAGTTGAGGATTTGTGGGAGTCCATCCGCCTGTCCATGTGAGTGAGAGTTGCCCATATCCGCGGGGGAGGCTGCGGCTTGGTGTTTGTGTGTGCCAGGCCAATATGTCCAGTCGGCTGTCCTTCTGTATGTGTATCTGTGGTTTCTGTGTCTGTCTGGGTGTGCCTTGCTAGTTGTCTCTCAGAATCTGAGACCCATTTGCTGTTCCTTCTGCCTGAAATGCTCTTCCCTACACAACCCTTTGGATTCTTTTCATCTTTAGTCTGTGAAAATAGAATACCCATTCTCTCTTTCCCATTATTCCATCTACTTAGCCCGTGTAAGAGTTTTCTGTGGCTGTTGTAACAAATTACCACAAACTGGGTGGCTTGAAACAACAGAAATGTAGTCTCTGGAAGTTCTGGGGGCCAGAAGTCTGATATTAGGTGTTGGCAGGGCCAACAAGGGGAGAAATCTTCGCTGCTTCTTTCAGCCTCTGATGGCCCCAGGCGTTCCTTGACTTGTGGCTGCCTCACCGGTTCTCTGCTTTGTTTGCACGTGACCTTCTCTTCTCTCACCCTCCCAACTCTCTATAGTCTTTCTCTTATAAGGACACTTGTTATTGGATTTAGCACCCCCCCCCCCATAATCCAGGATGATCTCATCTTGACATCCTTCATGGAATTACTTCTGAAAAGACTCTTTTTTTAAACAAGATCAGAGTCACAGCTTCTGGGACATGGACGTGTCTTTTTGGGAGCCATCACTTAACTCACCACAACTTTGTAGCCTTCCTGGCTCACCTACACGCTGCCAGCATGTAGTACATGTAGTATGTCAGTTTGTTACTTGTCTGTGTACTCTTGCCTAATCTGGCTGCTGTTGAGTATCAAGAGAGGAAGAACCACTTTTATTGTTTGCTTCTGTGTTTACAACTTAGCAAATAGTAGGTACTCCGCAAATATTCATTGCAGGAATGAATGAGTGTGGTCAGGTGGAGTCAGGAGGCTGAGGCAGGTTTGAGGATCACAAGTTCAAGGCCAGCCTCAGCAACTTAATGAAACCCTGTCTCAAAGTAAAATATTTTAAAAAGGCTAGGAATATAGCTTAGAGGTAGGGTACCCCTGGGTTCAATCTCCAGTACTAAAAAAGAAAGAAAGAAAAGAGTGAATGAGTGGGTGGAGTGTGCTGGTCTGTTTTGCCTGTCATATGTATCTTTGTACCTGCGTCCACCTTGCCCAGTAGTGCCCCCAAAACACTGTCTCTGCCACAGGTGCCCACCAGGCTGGGTGGGTGAGCGATGCCAGCTGGAAGACCCCTGCCACTCAGGTCCCTGTGCTGGTCGTGGTGTCTGCCAGAGCTCCGTGGTGGCAGGCACTGCCCGGTTCTCCTGCCGATGCCCCCGTGGCTTCCGAGGTGAGAGGGGGCATTCTGGAGGGGAGCCCAAGGCAAGCAAGGGTGTGATCAGTCCCAAGCTCACCCTCTCCTGGTTCCTCCAGGCCCAGACTGCTCCCTGCCGGACCCCTGTCTCAGCAGCCCTTGTGCCCATGGTGCCCGCTGCTCGGTGGGGTCTGATGGCCGCTTCATCTGCTCTTGCCCACCTGGCTACCAGGGCCGCAGCTGCCGAAGTGACATTGATGAGTGCCGGGTGGGTGGGCCTTGCCGCCATGGTGGCACCTGCCTTAACACTCCTGGCTCCTTCCACTGCCAGTGCCCAAATGGCTACACAGGGCCACTGTGCGAGAACCCCACAGTGCCCTGTGCTCCTTCACCATGCCGTAATGGGGGCACCTGTAGGCAGAATGGCGATCTCACCTATGACTGTGCCTGCCTTCCTGGTGAGTGAGTGGTACTCAGGGGAGGTGGTGTGGGTGGGGATAGCAGGTCAACTTCTCAGTGACCATTCTTGCCCTCTCCTCCTGTCCTAGGGTTTGAGGGCCAGAACTGTGAAGTGAACGTGGATGACTGTCCAGGACACCGCTGTCTAAATGGGGGGACGTGTGTGGATGGCGTCAACACCTACAACTGCCAGTGCCCTCCTGAGTGGACAGGTGAGCACCAGGACTGAGGGAGCTGGGTGGCAGACCTTGGGTTGGCACATACCAGGTGGCTATACTGGTGCATCTGTGTGCCACAGGCCAATTCTGCACAGAAGATGTGGATGAGTGTCAGCTGCAGCCCAATGCCTGCCACAATGGGGGCACCTGCTTCAACACCTTGGGAGGCCACAGCTGTGTGTGTGTCAATGGCTGGACAGGAGAGAGCTGCAGTCAGAACATTGATGACTGTGCCACAGCCGTCTGCTTCCATGGGGCCACCTGCCATGACCGGGTGGCTTCCTTCTACTGCGCCTGCCCCATGGGCAAGACTGGTAAGTGGTCATTTGCTCTGTAGGCAGCAGAGAACCACTGAAGGCTCTGAGCGGGGTCAAGACAGACTCTGATTTGAGTGTTAGAAAGATCATGCTGGGGCCAGGTGCAGTGGTGCATGCCTGTGATCCCAACTACTTGGCTGAGGCAGAATAATTGCAAATTGGAGCAAGGCCAGCTTGGGAAACTTTGTGATACCCTATTTCAAAATAAAAAGGTCTGGGATGTTACTCAGTGGTAAAACCCCTGGGTTCAATCTCCAGTATGAGAAAAGAAAAAAAATAAGAAAGACGAGTCTGGAGCTGGGACTGGGAATGTAGCTCAGGGACAGAGTATGAGCTTGGCATGTGCCTGGGTTCCATCCCCAGCACCTAGGAAGGAGGGAGGGAGGGAGGCGGGGAAGGAGGACATGCTGGAGGATGGCTTTGGGGTGAAGGGTGAGCTTGGGAAAGGCCTGGGAGGAGGCTGGCACACTGTCCAAGGCAGAAACCATTGGGATAGGAAGGTGTGGTGTTTGGGAGGAGGCTTGGAAATGGAGGGAGGGTATGCCTGGTAAGCAAGGCTTGAGGGTAGGACACTTTTCTAATCAGAAGAGTCTGTAGATTTTTTTTTTTTTTAATTTCTTTCCTCAGTTGTAGTTGGACCCAATATCTTTATTTATTTTATGTGGTGCTGAGGATCGAACCCAGTGCCTCACGTATGAGGTGGGCGCTCTACCACTGAGCTACAGCCCTAGCCCCGACGCTGTAGATTTTTAAACAATATGTAACTTTTTAAAAATAGTCTGGGGACAAAAGATTAATATACAAATAATAGTCAAATCTTGATGGTATGAAGGATCAACTTTTCTTATGTTTGAAGTTTTTCATACTAAATAGATTTTTTTTTAAAAAAAAAGCTACTTAAGGGGCTGGGGTTGTAGCTCAGTGGTAGAGTCCTTGCCTCGCATGTGGGAGGCCCTGGGCTCTATCCTCAGCACCACATAAAAATAAAATAAAGGTATTGTGTCCATTATTTTTTTAAGCTACTTGATACTCTGCAGGTTAATAAGAGCAAAAACAAGGGTTTAGGTGGCTCAGTGATAGAGCTCATGCCTAGCATGCCTAAGGCCCTGGGTTCAATCCCCAGCACCAACTCCTCCTGCACCCTGCAATGGGAGGGATGTGGGACCTTTAGGCAGAGCTGGAGAATCACCCTTGGACCTCTGCTTACCCTTTCTTAGGCCTTTTGTGTCATCTGGATGATGCCTGTGTTAGCAACCCATGTCACGAGGATGCTATCTGTGACACAAACCCTGTGAATGGCCGGGCCATCTGCACCTGTCCACCCGGCTTCACTGGTGGGGCCTGCGATCAGGATGTGGATGAATGCTCCATTGGTGAGAGGGCACCTTTTGAGAATGAGACGAGAAAGAGGGGAGTTGCAGGGTCCCCGCTGGTCATGCCCACACTGTTTGTGCCCCATCCCACAGGTGCAAATCCGTGTGAACATCTAGGTCGGTGTGTGAACACGCAGGGATCCTTCTTGTGCCAGTGTGGTCGCGGTTACACTGGACCTCGCTGTGAGACCGACGTCAATGAGTGTCTGTCAGGGCCCTGCCGCAATCAGGCCACCTGCCTGGACCGCATTGGCCAGTTCACTTGCATCTGTATGGCAGGTGTGTGGTGGGCGTGGCTGGGGATTGAGGCCTAGTTCCATGGAGTGGAACTAGGGTTGGCTTAGTGAGAGCACCAAGTGCTTAGTGTGGGTGAGGCTCTGGGTTTGATTCCCAGAATCACTTAAGAAAAAGTGAGATCCTTAGAGATGAGGTGGGGGCAGGGCCAGAACAGAATTTTGCCTGAAACTATGGGAGGGCATGGGTCCAGTGGAGTCAGTAGCCCTGTGATGGACTGAGAGTGGAGTCCAGGCATTAGGATCGCACTGGGGTGTGGGTGGGTGGGGATGGTAGAGGTGGTGGTGGATGACAGGAGGGTAGGGCCAGCAGCTGCAGTGGGGTCACATGTATCCTGCAGACAGTCTTGCACTAAGGAGGGTTGGGACTTGAAGCTGTGTACAAGGCTGCTGTGGGCCCTGCAACTGGGCAGAACATGACTTTAGAATTAGGTTGAAAGGGGGTGTTTTAAAGGCAAGGCATAAACCTTGTTCCGGTTGGCACCACAGCTGGGTGAGCGTCCAGCCTGTGATTGAAAACTGAATCAGGTTGAGCAGGAGATGGAACCAAGACTCAGGAAATCTGTTTGTGTAGGAATGGGGGAACCTCTCTCTCTGTGTCCCCTTCAGACCAGAGGGTATCTCCCACTGCCCTAATCCCCTTTTCCCAACCCCAGGCTTCACGGGAACCTACTGTGAGGTGGACATCGATGAATGTCAGAGTAGCCCATGTGTCAACGGTGGTGTCTGCAAAGACAGAGTCAATGGCTTTAGCTGTGCCTGCCCTTCAGGTGAGAATCCTGGGATGGGAAGCCTAAGAAAGACTGGTCTGTGCAGGGGCAAAGGATCCAGGGTGGGAACCCTTAAGGTCATGTTAGCAGATAACTTGCAAGAGGAAACAATGTTTTGAAAACATTGAAATGTGAGGCACTGTGGAGCACATCTAGAATCCCAGCTAATTAGGAGGCTGAGGCAGGAGGATCACAATTCCAAGGTCAGCCTGGGCAACTTAAAGAGACTCTGTGATACAGCCAGTGTTCCGGCCCCAGTACCACTAAATAAATAAAGAAAACCAAGTAAATTAAAACTATATAAAAAGTAAATAATCAAAGTAGATTAAAAATAAATAAAAAGGGCTGGGAATATAACTCAGTGGTAAGGTACCTCTAGGTGCCATCCCTAGTATAAAAAAAAATTTAAATTTATTTAAAACTAAATAAATGGGCTGGGGTTGTGGCTCAGTGGTAGAGAGCTTGCCCTCCCACGTGTGAGGCACTGGGTTCGATCTCAGCATCACATAAAAACAAACAAAATAAAAAGTTGGGTTTTTTTTCTTTAAAAAGAACCTCAAATTAAACACAACATTAATAAAACTAAGTAAACGGGAAGTGGGGTTTCCCACACTTACAGGGCAGGGACGGTGAGGGGCCATGCTTTTCTTGTCTCGACCTCCTTCACCCCACTCCTCACCCCAGGTTTCAGTGGGTCCACGTGCCAACTGGACGTGGATGAATGCGCAAGCACGCCCTGCAGGAATGGTGCCAAGTGCGTGGACCAGCCTGATGGCTACGAGTGTCGCTGTGCAGAAGGTGATGGCGGGTCAATGACAAGCTGGCAAGAATCCGGAGGCAGTGCTAGTAGGGGAGAGGGCGCCAATAACAGACTTGGACTCGGAGAGCTCGGGGGCGGGCTTTTGGCAAGGACAAGGCAGGGCCAATGACAGAGCTTGTGGGGTGGAGCTAATGATGGACGTAGACTGAGATAAGGCTAAGAGTTGGGCCAAAGGTTAGCATGTAAAGGAGCTCGATCCCCCCTCTACCTTCCTATGACACCTAGCCTCTTACCCATCATCTCCAGTCAAGGGAGAAGCTGATAGGGTAAAGACTAGAGGTTGGGGACACAGGCCAGGGGAGCGTCCTGGAGGTTGGAGCTGGATGGAGTGAAGGCAAGCTGGAGGCGTGGCCTAGTGGAACCCCTTTCCGGATGGCTTGGTGGGCAGGGCCTGAGATGGAGCTGAGGCCAGGATTGGGCAGAGGCCATAACTGTGGGCAGGCCCTTGGTAAGTGGGCGGAGCCTGACCCTTTGGCCCTGCAGGTTTCGAGGGCACCCTGTGCGAGCACAATGTGGACGACTGCTCTCCAGACCCATGCCACCATGGACGCTGCGTGGATGGCATTGCCAGTTTCTCATGTGCCTGTGCCCCGGGGTACACAGGCACGCGCTGCGAGAGCCAGGTGGACGAATGTCGCAGCCAGCCTTGCCGCCATGGGGGCAAATGCCTAGATTTGGTGGACAAATATCTTTGTCGCTGTCCTCCTGGCACCACAGGTAGGGCAGGGGGCTGGACTGGGCAGGAACAGTTCACCTGGAGGGGCACAGTTGGGAACGGTGCATGACAATGGGGGCTACTCCTTGCCATGTTTCCCTCCCCAGGTGTGAATTGCGAAGTCAACATAGACGATTGTGCCAGCAACCCCTGCACCTTTGGAGTCTGCCGTGATGGCATCAACCGCTATGATTGTGTCTGCCAACCTGGCTTCACAGGTAAGCAAGTGGCTGCAAAGGAGAGGGTGTCATTATAGGGTAAGGGTGAAGTCACCCGTCTCTGTTAGCTGGATTTCGCCCCTATCTTTGCACACATGTCCGATGAAGTTGTGTTCACTCTGCCCTGAGACTGTGCCCTTTATCATTGGCTTGGGGTTGTCCCCATATTGGTAAATTCATGATTATTCTGGAGAAAAGATGAAGCTGTCTTAGACTCAGGGACAAGATTGTGCCTGTATGGTGACAAGGTAATCCTTGGTAGAAGAGAAAGTGGCTTCATGTCAATTTGGGGACCAGAGTGATCTGGTGCAAGGCAGCTTTGGGTTGAGGAGGTGGCTGACCTAATTTGCATAGGAGCTGATATAGTATGAGAATAAAGTTGTCTTTGCACAGGGGTATGGCTTTGCTAAATGGAACAAGGTGTCCTCTGGTTGGCTCCACTGTCCCTGTCCAGGGATGAGGTTGCCTGCATATTTCCCAGGTCCCCTTTGCAACGTGGAGATCAATGAGTGTGCATCCAACCCATGTGGCGAGGGAGGCTCCTGCGTAGATGGGGAAAATGGCTTCAGCTGCCTCTGTCCACCTGGCTCCTTGCCTCCACTCTGCCTCCCTCCAACCCATCCCTGTGCCCATGAGCCCTGCAGTCACGGCATCTGCCACGATGCGCCTGGCGGGTAAGACCCCTGCCCAACTCATGACCCTTCTTCTGTCTCTCTGGCCACTTGCCACCCTGACTGCCTCCCCTGCCAGGTTCCGCTGTGTGTGTGAGCCTGGCTGGAGTGGCCCCCGTTGCAGCCAGAGTCTGGCTCGAGATGCCTGTGAGTCTCAGCCCTGTGGGGCTGGTGGTACCTGCATCAGCGATGGAATGGGCTTCCACTGTACCTGTCCCCCAGGAGTCCAGGGTGTGTGTCTCACTCTCTCTCCCCGGGCTCTCTGACATCCTTCTCTTCGTTTCCTTTCTGCTCCATTCTCGTCTACATTTCCCTCTCTTTGCTACTCCTTTTTCCCTCTGAGGTGCTCCCTAGGGGGTTGGATATCAGGGGGGATCCCAGGGAGGAGGAAGATGAGAACAGGGAGTCCCTCAAGACTATCCCATTCTGCCCCCTCCCACAGGCCGTCAGTGTGAGCTGCTGTCCCCCTGCACCCCAAACCCTTGTGAACATGGGGGCCGCTGTGAGTCTGCTCCAGGTCAGCTGACTGTCTGCTCCTGCCCCCCAGGCTGGCAAGGTACATTAGCCACTGCTTCCTTCTCCTCCTCTCTCACCTCCTCTGTGCCTTACCCCATACTGGGTTATGCTGGGGGCCAGAGGGAGCTTCACCCCAACACTGTTTCTTAGGGGAGCTTCCTTCTGGGAAAGAAGAGAGCTGGATGTGGATACTCACAGCCCATATGGGTCTGCTCTGGAGAAGAAGCCATAAGGGGCTGGGGCTGTTACAACCCAGCTGTTCTGGGGACAGCTTCCTGGAGGGCAGACTATTTGTACCCACTGAAATAGAGAGAAGGAAGTTCTGGAATGGCATGTGGAAAATATCTTTACCTATCTCAACCTACAGGTTCTTCCTGTGCCCCAGGTACCCTCAGACCCTGCCTTGCACCCTCTAACTGTAGGTGTTACCTTGCTCCCCACTCCCAGGCCCACGATGCCAGCAGGACGTGGACGAGTGTGCTGGCCCCTCCCCCTGCGGCGCCCATGGTTCCTGTACCAACCTGGCAGGAAGTTTTAGCTGCACCTGTCACGGGGGTTATACTGGCCCTTCCTGCGATCAGGACATCAATGATTGTGACCCCAGTGAGTACAGGGGAGCTCTTGGAGAGTGCTGCCCTGGGGACATTCATCAAGCCTATACTGTGGTGCTGTGCTCTCATGGTGCTGTGTTCACAGCTCTGTGCTTGCCTCATGTTACTCCTATGGAAACTGAGGCCCAAGGAGGTTTCTTGACTTGCCCAAAATCATACAGCAAATAAGGGAATGAGCTGGGCTTGGAGCACAAGTCTGTCTGACCCTGAAGCCTGTGGACTACCTCTGGCAGCAAGCATTAGGATGGTGTATAGAGTATGAAATAAAGGTCCCCAGAGTGGACTGGGGATATAGCTCAGAGGTAGACCTCTTGCCTAGTGTGCCTGAGGCTGTGGGTTTGATTCCCCAGCTCTGCCAAAAAAGAAAAAAAAAAAGAAAGGGAACTCAGAGAGTTTACTCTAGGGTGCTATCTAGTAAACAAATAACCAGGTCATGGATGCAATTTTAAATTTCTAATAGCCACATTTAAAAAAAAAAGGAAAAAGAAGTCAGAGAGTGGAGCTCAGTGGTAGAATGCTTACCCAGCATATCCATGAGACCCCATGTTCAATTTCCAGCACCATGAAAAACAAAGAAAAAGAAATGGGCAGTAATACATTTAATACTGTATTTTATTTAAACAAGTATATAAAATAGTATAATTTGAACATGTAATCAATATTAAAATGATTGAGATATTTTACTCTTTTTTTTTTTAAAGAGAGAGAGAGAGAGAGAGAATTTTAATATTTATTTTTTAGTTATCGGCGGACACAACATCTTTGTTTGTATGTGGTGCTGAGGATCGAACCCGGGCAGCACGCATGCCAGGCGAGCGCGCTACCGCTTGAGCCACATCCCCAGCCCCATATTTTACTCTTTTAAACTAAGTTTTCAAAGCTTGAAATTCAGTATGTATTTTATACTCACAGTCTATCTCCATTTGTATTGGTAACGATGTCAAGGACTTAGTAACCACGGCAGGCCTGTGCTGAGGCCAGGAATGAAAGCAAGCATAACTGGCAGTACAGCTGTCCCTCAGTATCCATGAGGGATGGTCCCAGGACCCCCATGGATACCAAAACCCGTGGGTGTTTGTGTCCCTTCTATAAAATGGCTTAGTATTTGTAAAGAACTCATGCACAGCCTCTCAGATACTTTAAATCATCCTTACGTAAGTTATAATATCTAATACAATGTCAAGGGCATGTACCTGCTTGTTATACTCTATCGTTTAGGAAATGATGACAAGAAAAAAATGTCTGTACATGTTCTGTACATATGCAGTTTTTTTTTCTATGTTTTCCGTCCACTGCTGGAATCCACCAATGCTGAGCCCAAGGTTATGGAGGGTCGACTATATTTACTTGGCAGCTCAAAGGGGCTTTTTTGGTTCTCCCAAAGCCCTCCCCTTCCCCTTGGGCAAGGTTTCCAGATGAGACAGGAGATAAGGCCACAAAAGGGGACATTATCCCTCTGACCAAATTTGTCCCCTCTCAGCTGAACCTGGTTTCCTCCAGGGTTCCCCTCTGTGACCCTGTATGGGAGGCAAGGCCAGGTCGGCCAGGCAGTGGGGGCCAGGTGGGCTAAACAGACCTCTTCTCTTCTGACTACAGACCCGTGCCTCAATGGTGGTTCCTGTCAGGACAGTGTGGGCTCCTTTTCCTGCTCTTGCCTTCCTGGCTTCGCTGGCCCACGCTGTGCCCACGATGTGGATGAGTGTCTGAGCAACCCCTGTGGCCCTGGCACTTGCACTGACCACGTGGCCTCCTTCACCTGCACCTGCCCACCAGGCTATGGAGGCTTTCACTGCGAGAAGGACCTACCCAACTGCAGCCCCAGGTGGGTGGGGCCTCGACTTCTTGAAACTCAGGGGCTCTGGCATCAGACGAGGCCTGAAACGGAGGGAGGAGGACTAGAGAGGAGTCCTTGGCTTGGCACCCATCTGAGGACTCTGATGCCTGAAGGGGCAGGGCGAGGCTTCGGTTTGGAGGGTCATCCTTAGAGACTCCGCTCCTTGAAGGAGCTGGGCCAGGGCAGATCCTGCAGGTAGATCCCAATTTAGCGCTGAATCTTGGTAAATTGAGGCTAAGGCATGAGGTGGGTTCTCTGCTGGCGCTGCAGCTTCTTGTGTGCGGGGTATAAGCGCCAGAGAGTGGGAAAACTCCATCCAGTTCTAGGAGGGAGGATGGGAGGGGGCGGAGCTTGACGCTCTTCCTCCCACTCCCCAGTTCCTGCTTCAATGGAGGGACCTGCGTGGACGGTGTGAACTCATTCAGCTGCCTGTGCCGCCCCGGCTACTTGGGTGCCCACTGCCAATATGAGGCCGATCCTTGCCTCTCCCGGCCGTGTCTGCACGGGGGAGTCTGCAGCGCCACCCACCCTGGCTTCCACTGCGCCTGCCGGGAGGGCTTCACCGGCAGCCAGTGCCAGGTGGGCGGGGCCACAGGTCCTGGGGGGAGGAGTCTGGAGGGTCTGTGGGAAGGGCCTGCCTCTCCTTCTGGGAGCAAAGCCCAGTACTGATTTTGAGGGTCATTTCTAGACCCTGGTGGACTGGTGCAGCCACAAGCCCTGTCAGAACGGGGGTCGCTGTGTTCAGAATGGTGCCTATTGCCTTTGTCCCCCTGGATGGAGCGGACGACTCTGTGACATCCGAAGCCTACCCTGCAGAGAGGCTGCAGCCCAGATTGGTAAGGGGGAGCCCATGGTCTGGTTGGCGTGTGCGTCTAGGGAAGGGTGTGTGTGAACCTATCTTCTGCTGGTGTGAGCCAAACGAGGGCCACCGTGATGCAGTGTGTGACCGAATGTGTGTGGGTGTGTGATTGTGTGACAGCGACCAAGATGGTATGTGTGTCTGTCACCATGAGACAGCTGGGATAGTATGTGTGACTGAGCCGGTATGAGCATTAAAATCGTGTGTATGTCAGTGATTGAGACATACCAGCTGAGAGGATGTGTGACAACCCTATGGAATGTGGGTGAGATGCTAGGGACTGAAGCCAGCAGGGATGTTGGGTGGTGTGTATGATGTAGGCAGAAAGAGGAGGAATGTAGCTGCCTCTGTGTCTGATGCCACTCTCCTCTTCCCAGGGGTGCGGTTGGAGCAGCTGTGTCAGGCAGGTGGGCAGTGCGTGGACCAGGACAGCTCCCATTACTGCATGTGCCCAGAGGGACGCACCGGCAGCTACTGTGAGCATGAAGTGGACCCCTGCTTGGCCCAGCCCTGCCAGCATGGAGGCACCTGCCGTGGCTACGTGGGAGGCTACATGTGTGAGGTAGGATGTGACCCAGAGAGAGGGAAGGGAAACTAGTCATGTCTGAGCATGTCTGGGTGTGCGTGGGCACATATTTCTATGTGTCTATGACCTGGTATGGGTATGTCACTCTCTAGGCATGTCTGTGTTTTTGCTTTTGTGACTGGGTATATCTTTGTGGGTGTCACTGTAGGTAGATCTGGGGGTGTTTGTTTGGGTTTGCTTCTGACTTCAGTTGTTTCCTGGGCACATCTATATGTGTCTGTGTGCATGGCGTCTCCTTGTGAATGAATGAATGAACCAGACTGTGTGTCTGATTGTGGTACCTGAAGGGCATCTGGGTGTCTTTCCTGTGTGTTTGCATGTGTGTGTCCCTCTGCACTGGTTGTGTTTCCTTGTATCTGCATGTGTGTATCCTGCACACTGGGCATGTCTCCCTCTGTTGGGTGTGTGTGGGTGTCCTTTTGTGCTGGGATTCTGCGTGTCTTCACAGGTATGTCTAGGCATGTCTGTGGTTCTCAGACTGAAAGGATCCCTCTCTTGCCCTAATACAGTGTCCAGCTGGCTATTCTGGTGACAACTGTGAGGACGATGTAGATGAATGTGCCTCCCAGCCATGTCAGCATGGGGGCTCCTGCATTGACCTTGTGGACCGATATCTCTGCTCCTGTCCCCCTGGGACACTGGGTATGCCGGGGCCAGGGTTGGAGGATAGGATAGGAGGCCCAAGTCTCTATCCCATCCTGATCACTTGCCTCTCATCCCCAGGTGTGCTCTGTGAGATTAATGAGGATGACTGTGGCCCTGGCCCACCCCTTGACTCAGGCCCTCGGTGCCTAAACAATGGCACTTGTGTAGATTTGGTGGGTGGCTTCCGCTGCAACTGCCCCCCAGGATACACTGGCCTGCACTGTGAGGCAGACATTAATGAGTGTCGTCCAGGTGCCTGCCATGCAGCCCACACCCGGGACTGCCTGCAAGACCCAGGTGGGCACTTCCGCTGCCTTTGCCATGCTGGCTTCACAGGTAAGCATGAGAGGTAGGGCCGGCCTGGGACCTTTGTTCCTGGTATTTCTTCATTGTGGTTGATTCAGGTGCCACTGCTTTTTCAGGTCCCCGCTGTCAGACTGTCCTGTCTCCCTGTGAGTCTCAGCCATGCCAGCATGGAGGCCAGTGTCGTCCCAGCCCAGGCCCTGGGGGTGGGCTGACCTTCACCTGCCACTGTGTCCAGGTAGGTCTGTGTGAGTGGCATGGGTGGTGACTCCTGGGGGAGGATAAGGGGTGTGGCCTCAGGAAAGGGTGTGGCTTTAGGGGGAAAGTGGATGGAAATGCTGAAATTACTTAGAAGTTAGGAGTGTAGGGTCTCGAGGTTGGGGTTTGGAGGTGTGGCCTTCTGAACAAGGAGTGGTTTGTATGTGAAGAGTTTGGGCAGGACTTGGAGAGGTTGGGGTCTCAACCTCCTCCATCTTGACCCTTCACCCTTCCTTTTCTTGACTCTCTTTCCTTTTCTTTTTCTTTCCATTTCTCATTTTTCCTTTCCTTCCCTCCTCCTTCCATACTTTTTTTTCTCTCCCCGCCCCCATCCCACCTCTAGCCGTTCTGGGGTCCGCGTTGTGAACAAGTGGCACGCTCCTGCCGGGAGCTGCAGTGCCCCGTGGGTGTCCCATGCCAGCAGACAGCCCGCGGGCCTCGCTGCGCCTGTCCCCCAGGGCTGTCGGGGCCCTCCTGCCGGGGCTCCCGAGGGTCTTCTCAGGGGGCTGCCAACGCCACCTGCGCAGCTCTGCCCTGTCTCCACGGGGGCTCCTGCCGTGCTGCGCCGCTTGCTCCCTTCTTCCGCTGCCTGTGTGTTCCGGGCTGGGATGGCCCGCGCTGTGAGACCCCCGCCGCCGCGCCCGAGATCTCGGAGGAGCCGCGTTGCCCGCGAGCCTCCTGCCAGGCCAAGCGCGGGGATAAGCGCTGCGACCGCGAGTGCAACAGCCCGGGCTGCGGCTGGGATGGTGGAGACTGCTCGTTGAGCGTCGGAGACCCCTGGCGACAGTGCGAGGCGCTGCAGTGCTGGCGTCTCTTTAACAACAGCCGCTGTGACCCTGCTTGCAGCTCACCTGCCTGCCTCTATGACAACTTCGATTGCCACACTGGAGGCCGGGAGCGAACCTGCAAGTGAGTCCATCCATTCGTTGGTGCGTGGGCTCCTCCTTTGTCCCTTTAGTCATCTCTTTGCCCCCTTCTGTCTGTTAATGGCGCCACATCTGACCGTCCATAGCCTTGTCCCTTGCCCTTTTGCCTCACTCTGCTCATCAGTTCATTCTTGGACGCTCTGTTGGGCTGTTTCTTCATTTTCGGGGTCTGTTTTGCTGCTCATGCCATCTGCACATCCATGTGTGATCTCTTGTCTGAGGGTCCTGCCATCCATTTGCCCTGTCTCCCTCAGTGTGACCCATAGCTGCCCATTTCTTTTCATCCACGTGCCCTCGGGTCTGCTTTTCTCTTGCCTATACACTCCACCTGTCCATCCTCATTCCCTGTTTGTCTGGCTTTCTATCTGTGAATTCTTTGAGTTCTTCTTGTGCCCAACTGCTTGTCCATTGCTTCCCTACCTCTCTCTCCTCATCTTTCTCAATCCTCCTCGCCATCATTCTGTTTAGTTGTTCCTCAGACACCGATGGCTGGTCCCACCTTAGGACCTCTGCACTGGGTGTTTCCACTGCCTGAACTGCTCTTCCCCTGAGAAGCCACGTGGCTCTTGACTATCTCCTTCATGCCTTTGTTCAAATGGTGTCACTTTCTCTGAGAGCTTCTCCCTGGTTACCTCCCAGGATGTCCCTTGCTTTATTTTTCTTCTTAGCATTTAAATCCATCTAGCACTGTGTGTGTTTATATTTGTTTATGTCTATTTATTTTTTTTATTGACATGTATTGGGATGCTGTATTTTCTGCTCATCCATCTTATTTGCCATGTCTCCACCTGCTGGAGTGCCAGCTCCTCCTTGGCAAAGATTTGGGGCTGAGTCATATCCTTGATGTCTGTGGCAGCACCCGGATACAGCAGGTGGTCAATTAATAGTTATTGATTATATTAATACAGGTTGGGCATCACTAATCAAAAAAATCTGAATACCAAAATGCTCCCAAAATTGAAAGCTTGTTGAGCACAGACATTATACCACAGTGGAAAATTCCATACCTGACCTCGTGTGATGGGTTACAGTCGAACTCACGCACAGTTGGGGTTGTGTCTCAGCAGTAGAGTGCTTGCCTACCATACATGAGGTTCTGGGTTCAGTTCCCAGCACCACAAACAAAACCTCAGGCTCACCAAAAGTATTGTTTAAGTTACTTTCAGGATATGTGTATAAAGTTCATATGAAAAATAAATGAATTTTGTGTTCAGGTTGAGCTCCATCCCTAAAATATCATATATATAATCCTTAAAATATTATACGTGTATGTATGTAATATGTACACATGTGATATATCATATATATCATTGTGAGATATATATATGTATATATATATATACACATACAAACATATATATGGTATATCACACTTATATGCCAATATATATGCAAATATTCCAAACCCCCCCAAAATGTGAGTTCTGAAACACTTCTGATCCAAGCATTTCAGATGAGGAATATTCAACCTATGGTTATCCAACCAGTGGCCTCACATGTGCTGGTACATTCCAGTCCTCTGTGCAAGCACTCTCTAGAGCCTGTTGCTCTATATGCTGTGTGTGCATTTGGGGGCTTAGAGGTCCCCTGACCCCCGTTCCTCTCTGCTCCTAGCCCAGTGTATGAGAAGTACTGCGCTGACCACTTTGCGGATGGCCGCTGTGACCAGGGCTGCAACACTGAGGAATGTGGCTGGGACGGGCTGGACTGTGCCAGCGAGGTGCCAGCGCTGCTGGCCCGCGGCGTGCTGGTCCTCACGGTGCTGCTGCCTCCGGAAGAGCTGTTGCGCTCCAGCGCGGACTTCCTGCAGCGGCTGAGCGCCATCTTGCGCACTTCTCTGCGCTTCCGCCTGGACGCGCGGGGCCAGGCCATGGTCTTCCCTTACCACCGACCAAGTCCTGGTTCAGAATTACGGACCAGGCGGGAGCTGGCTCCTGAAGTGATCGGGTGAGTGACTCCACCTGGAGCAGCTGTGAGTTCAATTCCCAGCACCACAAACAAAACCTTAGGCACAAAAAATATTGTTTAAATTACTTCCAGGCGGTGTGTATAAAGTACATAACGAAACATAAATGACTTTTGAGTTTTGGCTTGGGCTTCATCCCTTAAATTATATATTTGCATATGTGTATGCAAATATCTACATGCAAATATTCCAAAGTCCCTCCTAATCCCCCAATCTGAATTCTGAAACACGAGGGAGGCTCAGAGCCCAGCAGGGGAGGGGCACTCGTGACCTGGATCTTGTGTGTTCTCTTCCCTGAGCATCTGAGAGTCCTCCTTAGCAGTGTTTCTCCCACAGGCTTTCCTTCCTTCCTTCCTTCCTTCCTCCCTCCCTCCCTCTTTTCTATTTTATTCTTTAGATACTGAGGATTGAATCAAGAGCTTTGCATGCTAGGCAAGCACTCCACCACTGAGCTACATCCCCAACCCTTTTTATTTTATTTTGAGACAGGGTCTGGCTAAGTTGTCCAGACCCTTGTGATCCTTCTGCCTCAGCCTCCTGAGTAGCTGGGATGACAGGTGTGCACTGCCATACCTGGCTCCCACAGGCTTTTCAACCTCTTTTTCATTGACATTTACTGCCAGATCATTCTTTGCTGTGGAGGTCTGTTCTGTGCATGGTAGGATACTTAGATACTTAAAGCATCCCTGGCTTTTACTCCTTAGATGACAGTAACACTGCCCCCTAGCTGTGACAATGAAAAAACACCTCCAGATATGAGCAAGTGTCCCTTAAGGGGAGGTTACAGACTTACGCCTTGGGTGTAGTGCTACTTACTTCTGGAGATACAGGTGGTTTAGCAGAGTGTTTAAGGGGCTTGTGTAGGCTTTTTTTTTTTTTTTTTTTTTTAAAGAAATGAGAAATGTAGAAAAATGTAAAAGTATCCTGTTGGTGACCTGGTAGAGGGAACAGAAAGGGACATGGTGTTTGATGAGTATGCTGAAGGAGCTTGAGAAGGATGGGTCCCAGACACAGAAAAGAGATAGCGGGATGGGGGTAGGGGCAGGCTCTGATTGGATGCAGCTGGAAGCAGAGGAAATGGAGGAGGGATCTGATGTGCCTTTCCTCTGCTGAAATGACTGAGTGATAGGACATGTGGTGAAAAACAGGGGCTACTCTGGGCTTGTAGAGTCTGAAGGGACTGGAGATGTGGCGGGGAGACCCCCAGGAGGCAGAAGATAGAAACAAGAAAGACAGTAGGATGTTGAGAATCATCGAAACTGGGAAGGGATCAGTGACGTGGGGAGAGAAGGAAACAGAGCTGTGAACAGGGATACAGACGTTTAGACTGGGTGAGAGAAATTAGCTTCAAAAAGAGAAGGAGAAGCACTGGAGCTGAGCTCAGTGGCGGAGCGCTTGCCTGGCACACCCTAGACCCTGGTTCAGTCCCCAGTACTGCAAATGAAAAGCAGAACCTATGCTCAGAACCTCACCTCACCACTAGGGTGGGTGAGGAAGTTACCGCGATACTGACATAAAAACATTGTCTATTGGACTTTTGGCTCTGAGAACACCGGTGGACGCAGCAAGACTTGTTTTCGGGGTGCAGTGGGATTGGAAGGCAGGTGGGTAGTGGAGACATGGCAGGTGGAGATGGCTCTTGTGAGGCTGGTGTGGGGAAGGAGGATGGGGCTTGGTGTCTGAGATGCATTAGGCAACCTCTGAGCCCTTGGATCCCTCGGCTCTGGCCCCACAGCTCTGTAGTGATGCTGGAGATTGACAATCGGCTCTGCCTGCAGTCGCCTGAGAATGACCACTGCTTCCCTGATGCCCAGAGCGCAGCTGACTACCTGGGGGCCTTGTCAGCTGTGGAGCGTCTGGACTTCCCGTACCCACTGCGGGATGTGCGAGGTGAGGCTGGGCAGGGACAGCGATGAGGCCCTGGCGGGTGGCTGCAGCCCCAGGGCGTGGTGGCACTAGCGTCTCCTGGTTCTTTCTTGCAGGGGAGCCGATGGAGCTTCCTGAGCCAAGTGTGCCGCTGCTGCCACTGCTGGCTGCGGGCGCTGTCTTCCTGCTGGTCATTCTCGTCCTGGGCGTCATGGTAGCCCGACGCAAGCGTGAGCACAGCACCCTCTGGTTCCCCGAGGGCTTTGCACTACACAAGGATGTAGCAGCTGGCCACAAGGGGCGGCGTGAGCCTGTGGGACAAGATGCACTGGGCATGAAGTAAGGACCCTGTCTTCTCCTTGCCTCTGCCTGTGGGGACTCTGTGAGCCCTGCACTCCACCTCGGTCTGACTCTGACCTCTGACCCCATCTTCACCTTACCTTAGACTCCGTCTGGTATTCCTGTGTTCAGTCTCTTGACTGCTAACTCCATGATTCCTGGGGATCACCCCAGATTCCTGACCTCTGATTTTATTTCCTATATCATCATTTCCCTGATTCATATCCTTCCTGGACAACACCCTAAACCAGTTTCTCAGAATTTCCCCTGATTCATTCCTATGTGACTGCCTGACTCTATGACCCTTGTCTGCATCCCAGCCCCTCCCCAGCTCCCCATCCTTATTCTCTATGATTCCCACAACCAACCCTTGCTCCAACCTATCCTTACCTTTGACCTCACCTCTGACCCCCTTTCCACCCAACTCATGTTCATTTCTCATGATCCTTAATTTCAATCTTAACCTTGGACCTCACCTGTAACTTGATCTCTCTCTCAAGACCCCAGACCCCATTCTGAGTGTAACATTTCCCTGTGATTCCATGACTCCTGACCCTTCACCACAACCTTTTCAATCCTGGCTGCCTACCCGATTCCATATGAGGGTAACTCCATCTCCATGACCTCTGACACCATCTTCTGTAACCCCTGTGGTATGCCTGTGGCCCTCATCTATCCCCTAATCTACTGCTCTGACCCCTGACCCCACTCCTGTCTCTTCCCTGATTCCACTTTACAACTCTGGCTGCCAGCCAGCATGATCCCTGACTACACCCCTTGCAACCTTGACTTTCCCTCCCTCCTTCCCTCCCTCGTTGAAATCTGTATCTTGGCCCTCCCCCTGCACCTACTGACTTAGTGCCCCAATCCCAACTCCAGACCTCTGACCTTGCTTCTGTGACATCTGCTCTCACCATTCTCCAAATCCTCCTCCCAGGCCAGATGCCTCCAGTGTTCTTTCTTACGTTCTCTTCTTCTCATTGGTCCTACAGGAACATGGCCAAGAGTGAGAGTCTGATGGGGGAGGTGGCCACAGACTGGATGGACACAGAGTGCCCAGAAGCCAAGCGACTGAAGGTGCTGTCCCTTTCCCTGCCCCTTGCCCCTGTGTCTGGAATGGGGACCCCAGTCATTAGTGGGAGAGCACAGGGGAGTCTCTGCTCTCCCTCCCTCCCCAGCTCCAGAGAATAGCCATAGTTTTGTGACCTCATTTCCTCCTTGGTGTGGCTCTGTGCTCTTGGAGGAAGAAGAGATCGGTCATGGGGCCCACAGGGTTCTCTAGGTAGAAGAAAGCATTCCTCCATCCTGCCCCTCCTCAACCAGGTTCCTGCTCCCAGGCCAGCATGGGGTCATCTCAAAGAAATGCCTTGACCCAGGTAGCAAGTCTGCTTTCTGTCTGTTGGTTCTAAGCTTGTCCAGCATCCCCAATGTGAATGTGTATCCAACTGGTCCTGCTTCATTTCATCTCCTGGTGCCTTCTCGTGGGCTCTGTGTTAGCTCAGACTGTGTCCTTGTCCATTTTCTATTCAGTCCAGAGCTGGATAATGTGTTTTTTTTAAAAAGAAGTTTATTTGGCTCACAGTTTTGGAAGCTAAAAGTCGGAGGTTTGGGCCACTCTGTGGGTTTGGTCTCTGATGAGAATCTCATGGTAGATGGCATTATGGTATCAGGAGTTCATGCAGGAAAGATCATATGGTGAGGCAGGAAGCCAGAGAGAAATTCAAGGGCAAGATTGACTCTTTTTATAACTCAGTTCCCATTCAAAGGAACTAACTGGGTCCCTTGAGAAACTACATTAATCCCTTTCAAGGGCAGAGCTCCCAGTAACGCAGTTATCTCCTCTGAGACTCCACCTTTTAAAGGTTCCACCACCACTAAATATCACTGCATCGAGGACCAAGCTTCCAGCACATGAGCTTTTGGATAACCTTAAACCATATCCAAACCATAGCAGCTTGCCATAAGATTATATCATAGACTGGGTGGCTTCAATAACAGAAATTTACTTTCTCACAGTTTTGGAGGTTATCAGGGTTGGTTCCTGGTGAGGGATCTCTTTCTGGCTTGTGGACAGTCACCACCTATTTACTCCTTTCCCAGATAAATACCAGTTCTTGAAGGGTTAATGCTTATCCTCTACCCCTATGTTTCTTTTACCAGGGGTTTGTAGTTTCCAGAGTATAAGTTTTGTGCTTCTCTTTTTCAATTTAATTCTAAATATTTAGTTCTCGTTGCTATTGTCAGTGGGTTGCTCTCTTAATTTTGTTTTCATTGTGTTTGTGTTGGGGTGCTGGCAGGTGCTGTTCCCTATGCCTCTTTGTGTATGTAATACCCACTTTGGCTTCCCAGCCTCTCCCTTCTTCCATCCTGGATCGAAATTGCATTTCTTCCTCTTATTAGCTCCCTGAGCTCCAGGGCATCCTTATTTCCTTGTCTGTAAGAGAAGCAGGATATTAGTGATTTTCCAGCATGCATACATCTCCATCACTAAATGTGGGAATGCCCAGCCCCATTTCTGGTAGTGTCTCTCCCCACCTCCAAAGGGTGAGGTCTGAGAACCCGGTCCCTGTTCCTCCAGGTAGAAGAGCCTGGTATGGGGGCTGAGGAGCCTGTGGATTGTCGCCAGTGGACCCAACACCACCTGGTTGCTGCTGACATCCGTGTGGCACCAGCCATGGCACTGACACCACCACAGGGAGATGCAGATGCCGATGGCATGGATGTCAACGTGCGTGGCCCAGGTTAGCCACCTCCCAGAGGAGGCCTTTCACCTGTCCTACATTGGAGAGGTTACATCTTGGTCTGTGATCTGGGGAATGTCTGGGCTTCTGTGTGTATGTGTGCGTGTGAATTGAGATTCTTGGTTTGTACATAATAAAAGCCCAACTCAGACTAACTTAAGTAAATCAAGGCATTTACTGCCATGTAACTGGAAGTAGTGGGCCCATTTGGATCCTGGAATCAGTATTCCACTCTCCATGCCTTAGCTCCTGCCTTACAAAACCTTTCTTTGCTAGTGCTCTAGCAAAAGTCTCAGAATGCCTTCTGATTGGATGGACTGTGGTCACATGCTCATCTTTGAGCCAATAGGTGTGGCCAGGGGGCTGGAGTATGCAGATTGGCTGGTCCATTTGCCTGTTGTTGAGCCAGGGAAGGAGATTGGCCTCTACTAGGGTTTGAGACTGGAGAATGGGGTGCAAATGATTTCTTAAGGAAAACCGCAAAAGCTCATGCAGGGTGTAGCAGATCCTGTTGTCCAGATCCTCTTGGATCAATCTTTGCCACATTTCAGAGTATTCCTTTTCCAGCTTTATTTTGTTTTTACTCCAAATGGCCTATACCTGTTGCTTTCTTGAAGTCCCCCATGCTACGGGGGCTGGAGTGGCTGGGAGTATTTTGTCCTTGGGGGTGGCTCTTAGTTGGTGGATGCAAGAGTATGGAAGGCTCCTTTATCTTGAACTAGATTACAACTCTGGGGTACAGCTAACTTTAGAGTCCGCCTGTGGGATCAGACTGGAAACCCTTCTGGAATTTGCCTGATCTTGTGCTTGCTGGACCTCCTCTGTCCCTTGTCCTATATCCCCGACTCCCTAGGAGCCTTTTTGTGATCAATCATGTGCCCATGAGTCCTCATCCTGGGGGTGGGTGTGCAGATGGCAGGATTTGCCACTTTCTTGTCCTCCTATGTGTCCTGTTTGCTCCTAATACAGTGCCGTTGGCATTATCTCCTGGAAAAACCTGTGTCTTTGTGACATGCTCTGGTCCCTACAGATGGTTTCACCCCGCTCATGCTGGCCTCCTTCTGCGGTGGGGCCCTGGAGCCAATGCCAACTGAGGAAGATGAGGCCGATGACACATCAGCCAGCATCATCTCAGACCTGATCTGCCAGGGGGCCCAGCTTGGGGCTCGGACTGACCGTACAGGCGAGACTGCTCTGCACCTGGCTGCCCGCTATGCCCGGGCAGACGCGGCCAAGCGGCTGTTGGATGCTGGGGCAGACACTAATGCGCAGGACCACTCGGGTCGCACCCCTTTGCACACAGCAGTCACTGCTGACGCCCAGGGTGTCTTTCAGGTGAGACAGGTCCACCTCTTTGGACATTAGAGATGGGGTTGGCATCAGCCGAATATGGGTTTGAGCTTGGTTCGTTCTTTCAGAGCTTGTTTTTTTTTAATTTGGAAAATGGAAGCTGGGTGCCATGGCTCATGCCTGTTATTTCAGCTACTCAGGAGGCTGAGGCAGGAGGATCACAAGTTTGAGGCAACTTCACCAGACTATCTCCAAAAAAAAAAGGGAATAAGTCTGTAGCTCAGTGATAACATGCTTGCCCTGCATGAGAGAGGCCCTGGGTTCCAACCCCAGCATCACAGAAAAATGATAAAGTGGGAATCTACCTGAATACAATGTCTGGCAAGGGCAAATTGTGTCTGAATTAAGATTCTTTTCCACTTCAGAATGTTACAGATGTGTATCTATACAGCTGTTCTATTTGTCACTGTCAGTACTGTATTCAGTTAATCACATGAGATATTCAGCACTTTTGTTTTCTCTTTGCAGTTCTGGGGATCCAACCTAGGGCCTTGCCCACTCCAGGAAATCACTCTTCACTGAGCTACATCCCAGCCCAATGCAATTATTAAATAGGTTTTGTGAATGAGGTGTGGTGTCACATGCCTGTAATCCCAGTGACTCTAGAGGCCGAGGCAGGAAGATCACAAGTTCAAGGCCAGCTTTGGCAACTTAGTGAGACCCCCCTCTCAAAATAAAAAGGGCTGGAGAAGTAGCTCAGTGGTACAGCACCCGTGGGTACCTGGGGAAAAGTAAATAAAATGAAATAGGCTTTTTTGTTAGATGATATTGCCCATCTGGAGGCTGCTGTGAAAGTGTTCTGAGTACTTTCAGAGGTGGGCTAAGCTTAGCCCTGATGTTTGATAGTATAGGTGTATTACATTTGTTTTCAGTTTAGTATCTTCAATATTTGATGGGTTTATTAGGATATAACTGCACTATAAATCAAGTGGCATCTGTAGCTTGGTTCCAGAGGAATGGGGATTGGGGACCTCAGTGGGGGGTGCAGGCTTAGGGGTGCTCCTGAGCCTTCCATTCCTGCTATGGCTTCCCTGCGGCATCTTCTCTTTTCCAGATTCTCATCCGGAACCGCTCCACAGACTTGGATGCCCGCATGGCAGATGGCTCCACCGCACTGATCCTGGCGGCCCGCCTGGCCGTGGAGGGCATGGTGGAAGAACTCATCGCCAGCCACGCCGATGTCAATGCTGTGGATGAGCTAGGTAGGCTGGCAGGCTGGCTGAGGAAGCCATGGGTGCGGCTGGGAGGATGTCCCCTGGGCCCTGACTGTTGATGTGAATTTGCAGCCGTGTCACTAAAGCTCATGCACACATAACCTGGCTCTCACAAGGACTTAACACACTTTTGCAAGGTCTTTAGGGCATCTCAGGGGTTTAAAAAAGGGTGTGCTTCTCCAGGACTCTTCAAGCTGCTTTGTTGGAAACTCACTTTACTTCTACCTGCTGGACAGTTGTAACAAAGTTGCACATTGAACAAATTTGTAATGATGGTGGCTCCCCAGAGCCCGCTTGCTGGCTCAGACCAATCTGTGCTGATTCAGCCATCTGTCTGCAGGGCCAGAGGGCTTCACACAGCTGGAGATACGTTCAGACACTTCCACACTTCCTTTAGAGTAGGTGTTCTCAACCTCAGCGTCATGCAGTTTGGGGTGGGATAGTTATTGGTTGTGGGGGGACTGCCCTGTGCACTACAGGGTGTTGAGTAGCATCCTTGGACTTGACCCCTTAGATGCCAATTGCTATTGGCATCTTGATGTGTGACAACCAAATGTTCCTAAGGAGAAAATTGTGCTTGGTGGGGAACCACAACTCTAGAGTAGTACCGGGCAATAACACTTTCTGTGGTGGTGGAAAGAAATATTCTTTGTGGGCACTGTCCAATATGGCAGCCACTGGCCATGTGTGGTGACTATTGATTACTTGAAATGTAGTGGGAACAAGTGAATAATTAAATGTTCTTTTAATTCATTTAATTTTAAAAAAATTTTTAAATATTTTTGTTTTAGTTGTAGATGGACACAATACCTTCACTTATTTATCTTTATGTGGTGCTGAGGATTGAACCCAGGACCTCACGTATGCTAGGCGAGTGCTCTACCACTGAGCCCCAGTCCCAGCCCAGTTTTTAAAATATTTTTTGTTTAATATATATTATAACTTTTTGTTTTATTTGCTTTAAAATACACACACACACATACATACAAATGTTCAATTTTTTTGAGTCATAATTCATGTACTGTATAATTTACCCTTTAAAAATCTAAAGTATAAACTTTGGGCTGGGGACCTATCTCAGTGGTAGAGGGCCTGCCTAACATGTGGGAGGCCTAGGCCTAGGGCTCCATCCCTAGCAACTGCAAAAAAACAAACAAACAACAAAAAAAAAAAAAACAAAAAAACAACAACAACAACAAAGTATGATATATTCAAAGGTTTTATTTTTATTTATCTTTTTTTTTTTTTTTTTACTCTACTGGGGATTGTAAAATGCATTATATTTTTGCATAACCACAGAGTTGTGCAGCTATTGCCACAATGAATTTTTGGAATATTTTCATCACCTGAAAAAGAAACTCTCACCCCTTAAGCAACATTTGCCGATCCCTCACGTCTCCAGCCCTAGGCAGCCATTAGGTACTTTCTGTCTCTGGATTCACCTGTTCTAGACATTTCATATCAATGAAATCATGCCATGTGGCCCTTCGTGTCTGGCTTCTTACTTTATGTTTTCAAGGTTCATCCACCTAGTGTCATGTGTCAATGCTTCACTTTTCTTTTCTTTCTTAATATTTTTTAGTTGTCAATGGATCTTTTTTATTTTATTTATTTATTTATATGTGGTACTGAGGATCAAACTCAGGGCCTCACACATGCCAGGCAAGTGCTCTACCATGGAGCCACAACTCCAGCCCCTTCTTTTCTTTTTAATTAATTAATTAATATTGTGGTACTGAGAATTGAGCCTAAGACCTCATACATGCCTGGCAAACACTCTGCCCCTGAGCCATATCCCCAGCCCTTGTTTTTATAGCTGAATAATATTCCACATTGTGGTTGGACCACTTATCCATTTATCCATTGATGGGCATTTGGGTTTTGTACTTTTTGGCCATTATGAATCATGCTTCTGTGAACATTCAAGTACAAGTTTTTGTGTAGAGTAGTTTTCCTTTTCTTGGGTACATACCTAGGAGTGGAATTTTTAGGTCATATATTTTTAAAGAATATTTTTTAAATTTATTTTTTAGTTTTAGGTGGACACCATATCTTTATTTTATTTTTATGTGATGCTGAGGATCGAACCCAGTGCCCCATGTGTGCTAGGCGAGCGCGCTACCACTGAGCCATAACCCCAGCCCCCAGGTCATATGTTTTTTCAAAGCAGTTGCCCCATTGTGCAATTCTACCAGTGTTGTATGAGGGTCCTCGGGTCTCCATATCTTTGAAAATGCTTGTTTTTTTTTTTTTTTTTAAATCCCTCTTTCTTCTCCTTTTCCTCTTTTAAAACATGGTCTCACTGTGTTGCTCAGGCTGACCTCAAACTCCTAGGCTCAAGCGATCCTCCTGTCTCAGCCTCCTGAGTACTAGGACTCCAGGCATGTGCCACCTTGCCCAGCTTTTTCTGTCTGATTATAGCCTCCTAGTGAGTATAAAGTGGATAGCCCTCTGGTGGCTGATGATGTTGAGCATCTTTTCATGTGCTCATTTTATCTTCTTTGAAGAAATGTTTATGGAGATCCTTTGCCTGCCCCTCCCCCTTTTGCATAGATAGTGAGATCCTTTTTTTTTTCAGTGCTGGGGATTGAAGATCATGCATGTTAGATAAGCTCTCAATCACTGAGCTCCAGGGTTTGTCTTTTTCTGTGGTACTGGGGATTGTGTGGTGCCCAGGGGCACTCTACTACTGAGCCACACCCCCAGCCCTTTTTGATTTTTTCATTTTGAAACAAGGTCTCACTAAACACTGAGGCTAACTTGGAACTTTCCATCCTCCTGACTCAGCCTCCCAAAGCCCATGTCTGTAATCTCAAGTGGTGGGAATTATAGACATGGGCCACCATGCCTGGCTTCTTTTCACTTATTTATGTTTTTGGTACTGAGATTTGAGCCCAGGGGCACTTTACCACTGAACTACATCCCTAGTCCTTTTTATTTTATTTTGAGACTGAGCCTTGCTAAGCTGCTGAGGCTGGCATAGAATTTGCAATCTTCCTGCATCATTCTCCCAAGTTGTTGGGATTATGGGCATGTGCCACCATGCCTGGCTGCTATTATAATTATTATTATGGTACCTGGGGATTGAACCCAGGTGTGCTTTACCACTGAGCGACATCCTTAGCCCTTGTAATTTCTATTTTGAGACTGGGTCTTGCTCAGTTGCTTAGGGTCTTGCCGAGTTGCTGAGGCGGGCATAGAACTTGTGATTGTCCTGACTAAGCTTCTTCAGTTGCTGGGATTATAGACATGCACCACTTTGCCCAGCTTCTTTAATTTTCTTGGTGTTGTTCTTGATGGTGTCCTTGGAAGCATAATAATAGATAAATTGTATATCATAAATAAAATATACAATTTACCTATTGTTGTTCATTGTTGCTTTTGTGTTTGGTGTCATGTCTCAGAATCCTTTGCTTAAGGAGGTGAAGATTTACTCCCATGTTTTCTTCTAGAGGTTTTATAGTGTGAGCTCTTACATTTAGACCTCTGGTTCATTTTGATTGAGCTTTGCATAGATAGGATACAGTTGTTTGAGCACCAATAGTTGAAAAGACAGTTCTTCTCATTAAATGGTCTCAGCACCTACTTTATTGAATTTTCATTAGTTTAAATGTGAAAGTCCACATGTGACGAGAAATGTCTGCATTGGACAGCACAGCTCTAGGTTCAACCGAGTTAGGTCCACACAGCAGCTCTTATATATGAAGAGCCATTGGGTGTGTGCACACAGTGTACCCCTTGGTCAGAGGAGTCATGCAGTTCTCCATACACACGAACCCAAATACAGGTACCAAGGCACTTGTAGCAGCCTCTCACCCTCCTACCCCCTGCCCACTTACGATTCAGGACCTGGGACATGAGTCTTACCTTGACCCTGATTTCTTTTCCCCTTCCAGGGAAATCAGCCTTACACTGGGCTGCAGCCGTGAACAATGTGGAAGCCACCTTGGCTCTTCTAAAAAATGGAGCCAACAAGGACATGCAGGACAGTAAGGTGAGCCCAGGCCCTCAGCCCACCGGAGGGGGGCCAGCATCAGCATAGCCCCCCACAGGTGGCAGAGAGCAGGGTGGGATAAAGCTGGTGGGGGCATTCATCCTGCCTGAAGCCAGTTTTCAGGGGTAGGATTTGGGGCCAAGAGGCTTCAACAGTGGATCAGAGAAGTGTGTTGCATTTGCTCTGTGACCTTGGGCTAGTTGCCTAACCTGGGTAAAGTAGGGCAGTAATGATACCCATTCATTACTTCTCTTGAGGATTCAGTGAGCTAGTGTGTTTTCAAAGTGCTCACTGGAACCTTAGTGAAAAGTAACTGTTAGGATCTTTGCTTAAAAATCCTTCTAAGGTGGTTTTATATAATCTCATTTTATAAATGGGAAAGATGGGTTCGGAGGGGTGGTGGATTCTCTGCTTATTTAAAATTTCCATATTTTATGTATTATTTTTTTTCCTTTTACCTTTAAAAAATTACTTTAAAATATAATTTATTTTGATTACTGAGATTTTTGGTGCTCCTTTAAGTTCTGTGCCTCAGGTGACTGTTTCACCTGAGTTACCTGCTGGGTGAATGTGGTTCAAAGGAAACAACTTGCCCAGGTTCCCTCTGCATAGCTGGGATTCCAGTCCAGGGGGGACAAGCTCCAGTGCACAAACTCTTGGTCCTCAGGCTTCCCCCAGAGCCTGGAGACCTTGCTGGTGTTGACCAGAGTGTCCTTGACCTTGACATCTCTGGGTTCTGCCCCCTCCCCCATCCCAGGAGGAGACCCCGCTGTTCCTGGCTGCCCGGGAGGGCAGCTTCGAGGCTGCCAAGCTGCTGCTGGACCACTTTGCGAACCGGGAGATCACAGACCACCTGGACAGGCTGCCACGGGATGTGGCCCAGGAGCGACTGCACCAGGACATCGTGCGGTTGCTGGACCAGCCCAGTGGGCCGCGCAGCCCCCCTGGTCCCCATGGCTTAGGGCCCCTGCTCTGCCCACCTGGGGCCTTCCTCCCAGGCCTCAAGGCAGCACAATCTGGAGCCAAGAAGAGCAGGAGGCCCCCTGGGAAGTCAGGGCTGGGGCCGCAAGGGGCCCGGGGCAGGGGCAAGAAGCTGACGCTGGCCTGCCCGGGTCCCCTGGCCGAGAGTTCCGTCACTCTGTCGCCGGTGGACTCGTTGGACTCCCCACGGCCCTTTGGTGGGCCTCCTGCTTCCCCTGGAGGCTTCCCCCTTGAGGGTCCCTATGCAACCGCCACAGCCACCGCAGTGTCCTTGGCGCAGCTCGGTGGCACAGGCCGGGCAGGTCCCCTAGGGCGCCAACCTCCTGGAGGCTGCGTGCTCAGCTTGGGTCTGCTGAACCCTGTGGCTGTCCCCCTCGACTGGGCCCGGCTGCCTCCACCTGCCCCCCCTGGGCCCTCATTCCTGCTGCCCCTTGCACCGGGACCCCAAATGCTCAACCCTGGGACCCCCGTCTCTCCCCAGGAGCGACCCCCGCCCTACCTGGCAGCCCCAGGACATGGTGAGGAATACCCAGCAGCAGGGGCCCACAGCAGCCCCCCAAAGGCTCGCTTTCTGCGTGTCCCCAGTGAACACCCCTACCTAACCCCATCCCCAGAGTCCCCTGAGCATTGGGCCAGCCCTTCTCCCCCCTCCCTCTCGGACTGGTCCGATTCCACACCCAGCCCTGCCACTGCCACGGGGACCACTGCCACAGCTGCTGGGACACTGCCTGCCCAGCCACACCCCTTGTCTGTCCCCAGCTCCCTTGCTCAGGCTCAGACCCAGCTGGGGCCCCAGCCAGAAGTCACCCCTAAGAGGCAGGTGTTGGCCTGAAACACGCCCAGTTCCTGGATCTTGGGGAGTTGGGGGGCATCCCCTCCTGACTCCTCCCTACTTTAGTTTTATTCATTCTCTCCTTTCTGTCTACCAGCCTCCTGCGGTCCTGCCTTGCCCTGGTCATCAGCCCAGGGCCTCAGTTTTCCTTTATTTATAATGGGTGGGGACTGACCTCCTACCCGCTCAGTCTTGTAACAAGTCTGGGACCTCCTCTTACCCCCTCTCTGCCCCCCAGTTTTCTCTTCCCTCCTCATTTTCTCACACTCTGACATGAGTGAATTATAATTTTTTCCTTTTTTTTTTTTTTTTTTACATTTTGTATAGAAACAAATTCATTTAAACAAACTTATTATTATTATTATTTTTTACAAAGTATATATATGGAGACACTCCCTCCCCCCTGCGAATCCCCCAGTGCCCCTGTGGGGCTGAGTCTGTGGGCCCATTCGGCCAAGCTGGATTCTGTGTACCGAGTACACAGGCATGACTGGGATCCCGTGTACTGAGTACACGACCCTGGTATGTACCAAGTAGGCACCCTTGGGCGCACCCTCTGGGGCCAGGGGTCAGGGGAGACTTGGGAGCCTCCTCCCCACCCCTCTTCCCTCACTTCACTGCATTCCAGATGAGACTTGTCCTGTAGCCTTGCTGGGGAAGGGCCCTTCTGGCCTGAGCCCCCCTCCAGGCTCCCACCCTCCCAGAGTTTGGGCCATATCCCTTTGGGAACGGGGGGCAGCTGGTGGAAAATGGGGGCCAGGGGAGATGTGTGCATTCTATCCTGTCTTCCCATAAATATGGAACTGCAGGCAGGAGAGAGGAGCTGCCTGGGTGGCACCTTCTGGTACTCCCCTGGCCCGGGCTCATGGCAGAATAGAAGTATTTTTAGGCTATTTTTGTAATATGGCTTTTGTAGCTGAATTCAAGCCCTGCATTGTACAGCCCCATTTCCCTCACCGCCTAATAAAGGAATAGTTAACACTCAGTGTCATTGGTCTGTGTCTAGGTAAGGTGGGGACTGGTGGTGGCTGGGCTCTTGTCTTTCCAGGGCTAAGGTGAGCTCCCATTTTGGGCTAAACCTATTTGGTTTCCTTGGCCACTCATGCTTTCTCTTTTAGCAGGTGACTCCACTGATTGGATCAGGGGTGGTTGCCAGAATTAAGTCGAGCCAATCAAATTTCCGTGTTCAAGAACTTTTTTTCTTTAAAAACAAAGAAAAAAAAATATATATATATATATTTGTCTCTTTTTAAAATATTTTAATTGGACACAATACCTTTCTTTCTTTATTTTTATGTGGTGCTGAGGATCGAACCCAGCGCCTTGCACATACTAGGTGAGCGCTCTACCGCTGAGCCACAACTCCAGCCCCTGTTCAAGAACTTTCTATAATGGAGATGCTAAGTAAAACTATCAGTTGGTGGGATTTTAAGGTCTCGGGTAGATTAAGAAGTATTGGTTGCAATTCGAGGCAGTGGGTATTTCACACTCCTGTCCCCCATGGTGCTGGGAATGGAACCTAGGGCCTCAGGCATGCCAGGCAAGTGCTCTACCACTGAGCGACATCCCCTGCCTTTGTGCCATGGCTACTGATGAGCAGCCAGACAGCACCATGATGAAGGTAATGTGCTGGGAAAATCGGTTGAGCACTAAATTGGCTCCCTAAGGCTGGAGGGAGTCTCAGATCCAGATACAATATTGATTGCACTTAACTGAGTGTTTGTTCATTCCATTGAAATCAGCAGGTATGTATTAATTGCTATGTAAGTGCCAGATGCTGGTTCTGTATGACTCTCACCTTGACTTCATGCTGTGGAGTTCTGAAGATATCCCTGTGGACATGTAATAAAGACTCTCTTACATACACAGCTTCAGTGGGTTTCTTTTTTTTTTCTTCCTCCTCCTTTCTCCCCTCCCTCCCTCCCTCTCTTTCTTCTTCTTTTCCTCTCCCTTCCCCCGCTCTGAGCTACATCTCTAGCCCTTTTTATTTTTGCTTTGGCACAACGGGGTTTATAGGTATGCACTACTGTGCCCAGCTTGAATGGGTTTCTGTTTCTTGCAACAAACTATGCTCCAAGACAAGTTGTGTTTAAGGCTCCCTAGGAAAGTGCTATAGTTTGGATCTGAATGTCCCCAAAGGCCCAGATGTTGAAGGCTTAGTCCCCACTCCATGGTACTATTGGGAGGTGGTGGAACCTTCAAGAGTGGGCCTAGTGGAGGAAAAGTGAGGTCATGGGTGTGCCCTGGAGGAGGATATGGGGACCCTGGCCTCTCCTGTATTTCTTTTCACTTCCTCGCTGCCATGAGGTGAGAACTTTGCTCCATTGTGTGCCGTGATGTACCACCTCACCACAGGCCCCAAAGCAAAGAAGCCAATTGCTCATGGACTGAAACCGTGAGCCAAAGTAAACCTTTTCTCCTTCAAGTTGATTTTCTGAGGTATTTTGTAATAGCAATGGAGAGCTGACTGACACATCATGGAGGGTCAGTGGAATAGGATGTCCAAAAATTCTCCGTGTCACTTGGAGTGCTCTTGGATGTAAGTGACCCAAGAATCAATTGGTTTAAGCAAGAGAGAAGTTTACTAGGTCACATAAAGAAAAAGGGCCAGCTTCCGTGAAGTTTGACCCAGCAGCTCAAATGATGTCAACCAAGGCTGAGTTTCTTTTCATGCCTACAGCTTTTCTCTTCCTCAGTTTTATCCCCAGGCTCCAGTCTCTCTTTTATACCCCACAACTCCAACACTCTCTCTATGACAGCAAAATAAATGTCAAAGTCATAGACCATATTGCACTGTCCAAGGACGAGTGGGGTTGATTTTCTATGGACCTCAATTGGGTCATGTATCCATCCTCTAATGTAGAGTTTCTTTTTCTTTCTTTTTAAAATGTTTATTCTTAAGTTTTAGGTGGATATCTTTATTTTACATTTATAAGGTGCTGAGGATCGAACCCAGTGCCTTGTACATGCTAGGTGAGCACTCGACCACTGAGCCACAACCCCAGCCCCTAATGGAGGGTTTCTTAACTTCAACAATATTGACACTCGGGAGTGTCACTCGGGGCCAGATAATTCTTTGCTGTGGGAGCTGTCTCCAGACATTGATAATTATTCACTGAGAGGCAGAATCAACCCCTGCAATGGGATATGGGGTGTGCTAATTTCTTTCTTTTGCAGTATAGTGGAGGGAACCCAGGAGCTGGCATTTGCTAAGCATATGCTGGACCACTGGCTACACCCCAGCCCCAGCCCCAGCCCCAGTCCCAGGCTGTGCTAATTTCTTAATGAGTTTCTTAAAGTCCGCTCTGTTACTGGGGGTGGGATACATTTAGAGGCAATCAGGTTTGCAAGATGAATTCTGTGGAAGCAACAAATTGCAACAAATTAACATTCACTCCACTTTCCCCTTCCTTTGGCTAAGTAGAGATGCAACAGTCTTTTCTAATTTTTTCCTATCAATTGAGTGCTCAATTGGCTCCCTAAGGCTGGAGGGAGTCTCAGATCAAATTGGATCAACTATCAAGTTGGTTTTATGTCCTGTTCATCTAACTGCTACCTATTTATTGGGCTCCTATTGTAAGTCAAGTCCTGGGCAAGTTGTTGACAGTAAAATGATGGACGACACAAGCCCCCCCACCCCACCCCAGTCTCTACTCAGGGATTTGAGGCTAGTTAGGGGGGGTATAGGAGGTGCCCATTATGTTCCCTTAGAGTTTACCATTTTTAGTTCAAGCTGGAGGTGTCTGGCTGTAAATGCTTGAGATTTCTACCTGGCAACTTTCTTTTGTGTGATGTAGGAATAAACCTCGACGAATGAGAGATGGTTGGGAGTTGGTGGATACATACCTCAGCTTCCTCACCTCTCTCTCTGGGGGAAATTCTGAGGCAGGATCCAGTTTTTTGAAGGCTGCCCATTGGGACTGAGGTTCACTTACCCATGACAGCACCGCACCTGCTCTTCCTCATTTTGGAGCTCTCTGGAATGATCTCTCTATTCAGAATTTCTGACACTTGACTCCTTGGCTGGAGAGCAGTCCATCTTAGCTGTGTGTGTGAGTAGATACTTGGGAGTGGTAGCTAAAATACCTGTTGAGGCTTATGAAAGTCTGGGGAGCTGGGTTGTGGTTTAGCTGTAGAGCACTCGCCTAGCACATGTGAGGCCCTGGGTTTGATCCTCAGCATCACATAAAAATAAATAAATAAAATAAAGGTATTGTGTCCAACTATAACTAAAAAAATATTAAAAATAGTAAAAAACAAAGTCTGGGGACCCTTCTTTTTGAAGGCCATAGAAATGAGGAGACAATCACCCTCCCCAGTCTGTTTTCTCCACTGTATCTTTCAACCCTGGCTTTATGAAACAGGGCCTTGGAGAAGAGTGTCCCACCGAGGGAATCCACCTTTTGTACCAGGTAGAGCCAGCTTTACTTGTTAGCACTTGAGACTCCCAGGAATGGTCAGGGAGGGGTGCCAGGTGGAGAACCAGGAAGCCTGCCTGCCATCGTGGTTGGGGAAAATGAGCTAGTGGGATTCAAGGTTTCAGGTGATGTGACTTCATCAGTGCCCCACAGTTGGGATGGTTTGGGGACTTTGGATTTGATGTCCCAATTAGCTTTCTTTCTTTTTAAAAAATTGGTTCTAATTATACATGATAGCAGAGTGCATTTCGATTCATTGTACAGATATGGAGCACAACTTTTCATTTCTCTGATTGTACACAATGTACAGTTGCACCATATGTGCAGTCATACATGTACCTAGGGTAATGATGTCCCTCTCATTTCACCATCTTTCTGCTCTCATCCCCCTTCCCTTCCCTCCCTCCCCTTTGCCCAATCAAAGTCCCTCCATTCTTCCCACAGCACCCCCCTCAGCATCCACTTATCAGAGAGATGATAAGATCCACTTATCATTTGGCTTGTGGTTTTGGGGGATTGGCTTACTCCATCTATTTACCTGCAAATGCCATAATTTTATTCTCTTTTAATGCTGAGTAATATTCAGTTAGAAACTCCAGTGGGCTTTTTCACTGTCAGGACAACAATGGAGCAGCTGAGTGGCTGCCCTTTGTCCTCCAGATCTTCCCTGCACCTTCCCCACTCTGTTCTGTGCCCCAGAGGATGACGGTGGTGGTGGTGGGAGACATCAAGTGACTCCTTTGCTCTCTGATGCCCACTTGGGATTGGCCAATGGGAGGCACGGGTGGGAGATTAGAGGGTGAGAGGTATTCACTTATTTATCTTGACATGGAGTCTTGTTATTTGCCCAGGCTAGCCTCAAACTCCTTGGGTCAAGGGATCTTGCTGCTTTAGACTCCTGAGTAGTTGGCATTACAGGTGGACACCACTGTACCTGGCTTATGAAATGTATTTATGAAATATATTCATTTCTCTGGTTTGCTGCAGGGGGAAAAAGTACACTCATTGATCTTCATTCAGCTACTTTCTCTACATTGGGGTCATTTCCCCTCTTCTTGGCTCTTCTCAAAGGATGGTTCCATCCATTGCCTACTCCCTGACCATGTCTCATTAATATAGCATATTCTCTTTTAGTTTTTCATCTATTTTTATTTATCAGTCTTCATCATCATCAAACATATCTTTCTATATAACCATCAGCAGCAGCATCAGCCATTATCTTCTTTGTTTCTTTCTAATTTTCTATCTTCTTAATTTCTCATTTTTATTTTTTTAAGTACTGAGGCCAGAACTCAGTAGTGCTCTATTAATGAGCTACATCCATAGCAGTTTTTTTTTTTGAGACAAGGTCTTGCTAAATTTCCCAGGTGGGCCTCAAACTTACAATTCTCCTGCCTCAGCCTCTGAGTAGCTGGGATTATAGGTGTGTGCCACTGTACTCGGCTTCTCTATCTATCCATCTATCTATCCAGATATCCATCTTTCTCTCTCTCTCCATTCAACCATCATTTATCTATCATCTTTTTATCCATCTATTGATTTATAGTCTTTGATGCTTTTACGTTCTATCATTTATCACCTTTCTTTTTTTCTATCTATTCATTCTCTCATTCATTTTTCTATATTTTTTAAAGAGAGAGAGAGAGAGAGAGAGAGAGAGAGAGAGAATTTTAATATTTATTTTTTAGTTTTTGGCGGACACAACATCTTTGTTGGTATGTGGTGCTGAGGATCGAACCCGGGCCGCATGCATGCCAGGCGAGTGTGCTACCGCTTGAGCCACATCCCCAGCCCCGATTTTTCTATATTATTTTATAGGTACATTATAGTTGTACATAATAATGGGATTTGTTGTTACATATTCATATAGATACACAATATAACAGTATAATTTGGCCAGCATCACTTGATTTTGTTCAATTAGACATTTGAACTGCTGGGTTAAAAAAAGAGGTGATTTCATAATTACTTTAAAAAATCAAGACGCTCAGTCTCTGGAGCTTTAACCAAATGCCTGCTCCCATGATCATTGCAGAGTAAGCTGTACACAGGTTTGCTAAAAGTTCTATCCCGAAGGAAACAATCCTCTGAAAATTTAATGCTGCACAATATGAAATAATGCCATTAGTCTAAACCTTAGACTTCATGAAGAGTCAGGTGGGAAACTCGGAACTGAAATGACTACGTTCTACCTCTGTGTCACACTCAGCCTAGAAATGCATCCACAGGAGGTGTGTAGATGACTACATCATTGTCATGGCAAATCATGCTGCTTCTCAGGCACCCATCATGCCAGAAGATCTCAAGAACAGAGAAAAAAGGAACAAAGGAGATGTGTTCAGGCAAGTTGGTGTGGAGAAAGCCTCTCTCTCGCTCTCTCTCTCTTGTTTTTTTTTAAAAGGTAGAAAGATTTTCTTTGAGATAAAGATTAAGCAATCATCTGAAATGAGCCTCCTCATTTGATTTGAGAATCAGCAGAGAAAGTATTTTTTGAAATTAAGATTATCAGAAGTCCATATTGAAATAAAGAACTCCTACATTGATGAATTTGATACTGCTTACAAGACAACAACAGGAATCTTTGCGACAACTGCCAACAAGATGTTTTGGGGAACAAGAATTTTACTACCAGACCAAAAATTGAAAACATGAAAAACTGTGTGGTTGTTAAGATATATCAAAAGCAAAAGCAAAAGTAACAGCTAGAATTCTTGAAAGCACTTTCCTTCTCAGCAGATCTCTTGGGTCCATCAAACACATGGGATGCATGATTATTTCTTACTTTTTAAATGAGGGAAAATGCTTAGCTCTAAAATAGCAAATTAACATTTTTGGGAAAAGAATATACCAGAACATGTATGCACACAGTGTTTTAGCCAGCTTTTTTGCTGCTGTAACTAAAAGAATAAATTTATTTAAACGTTCGCAGTTTCAGAGGTCTCAGTCCATAGGCTCCATTCCTCAGGGCTCCAGGTGAGGAAGGACATCATGGAGGAAGAGTGTGGTGGAGGGAAGCAGTTTACATGATGATCATAAAGTGTGCGTGTGGGGACACTCCACTTAACAGATGCAAAATATAAATCCTAAAGGCACCCCCTGCCCCTGGGACCTACCTCCTCTAGCCACACCTTACTTGCTTTCAGGTACCACTCAGTTAATCACATCAGGGAATTAATTCAGTGATTGGGTTAAGGCTTTCACAACCCAATCATTTCTCCTCTAAACCTGCATTTCTCCTCTTCATGAGCTTTTGGGGGACATCTCACATGTAAGCCATAACACACAGTCATTCCTTAATGTAGAACTCCAACTCCAATCTCCTACACTTGACGTGGAGAGGTTAGCTTTAAACAGGTGTTTCTCCCTTGGGAAGGGGAAGATTGGGGAAGGTGGAGCTGGAGCCTGGTGGTTGGCTGTCAGGAAGCCATAGGTAAATACAGAGGATCAATGTAGGGGCTAGCTCGAAGCTGTCTACACCATTTCCATATTAAAAATCAGTGCATTTGGGCTGGGGATATAGCTCAGTTGGTACAGTACTTGTCTCACATGCATAAGGCCATGGGTTCGATCCCTGGCGCACGTGTACACACACACACACACACACATGTACACACATCATCAGTGCATTCAGACAGGTCAGTTGGATCTGCCAGACTGTGGGTAACATAAAGACCACCCTCTGTGTCCTTTGCCCCACTCTCTAGCTCCATAAATAAATGCTCTGAGCAAGATACCTTTCCGACCAAGACCAGGCTGTTTTGTTCAAGATGGAATATATCTTCTTCTTGTTGTTGTTTGTTTGTTTTGTTTAAAGGATTCTGTTTTGTTGTTTTGTTTTATTTTGGCTTTTAGAGCTAAGATACTGAGATGGGAGCAATTTGAAGAATTCAAATTGGACTCAGTTTTCTCATTCATTTATTTTGTTGTTGTTCAGCTCTATGAGGTAAAATGAACATCTATGAAATGTAATGAATTTTAAATTTGGGGATGTCCTGATAAGTGAATGTAGCCATATAGCTACTACCAGAATCAAGTTTTCTTGTGTCTTTTTGTAGTCAATATCCTCCCAAATTCCTGGCTCTGGGTATCATGGATCTACTGTCTGTCTCTAGAATTTCAAGTAAATGGAATCTTGTAGCAGTGGATTTTAAGTCTGGCTTTTGAGATTCATCTGTGTTGTTTCATGCAGCAGTTACCATATCATGTGTACCCCTTTTTATTGCAGAAGATGGCATGTGTGATGTGTTGTACAAATATACCACAATTTCCTTACCCATACTTGTTTCCATTTGTGACAGGTCGTGCTACATTCCATGGGCAATTACAATGTGTGAGAATTACAGCAGCTCCACATCTTTATTAATACTTGGTATAGTCAGTATGCTAAACTTCAGCTATTCTAGTGATATATGTTTTTTAAAACTTTATTTATTTATTTTGCAGTACTGGGGATCAAACCTGAGCCTTGCAGGTGCTAGATAAGTGTTCTGTAACTGGGCTAAACTCACAGCCCCTATATTAGTGATATTCTTCTATATTCTATGTTTTATGTTTCAGTAGTTCCTCCATTTTGTTGCAGAGTAATATTCCATATATCTTTGTTTAACGATTGAAGGACATTTTTATCATTGAAGGGTTGTTTCCAGTTCTTAATGGTTATGAATGGTACTGTTAAAATGTTTTTTTTTTGTGTGTGTGGTATTGAGGATTGAACCTGGTGCCTTGCACATGCTAGGCAAGCATTCTAACACTGAGCTACATCCCCAACTCTTTATTTTTCAGTTTGAGACAGGCTCTTGTGAAGTTACTTAGGGCCTTGTTAAGTTGTTGAGGCTCCCTTGAACTTGTGATCCTCCTGCTTCAGCCTCCCGAGTTTCTAGGATTCCAGGCATCCACCACCACACCAGGCATAGCATACTTGGGTTTAAATTACTTTAAATATTTTCTTCTTAAAAAAAAAAAGGTATGCTCTATCACTGAGCTACATCTCAGTGCCTTTTTAAATTTTTAATTTTGAGAGCAGGTTTCACAAAGTTACCCTAGCTGGCCTTGAATTTGCAATCCTCTTGCCTTAGCCTCCCAAGTAGCTAGGATTACAGTGTGCACCACCACACCCAGCTCCTTTTAATTGTAATTTCTGTCTTTAAATCACATCTATCTTCCTGCATGTTACCATATGGAATTAAAAGTAGTCACACAACTCCTTCAATATTTTTCTTAGATATTTCTTTCACCTGATATCCTAGTTCCTTGTACTTAAAATTTGCCTTCCACAAAAACCCTTGATTTTGTATATAATGTAGCCAAGTTCTTTTTCAATTCATATAATGTACTTTACTCCAGTTTCCAATAATATTTACCTCATTTTATTCTGAGAACTCATCTCAGGTACATCTTTCTATCAATATCATGATCATGGCCACTTAAATAATCTCTAAGAAGATTCAGACCTGCCCTGCATCTTTCTTTCTCCTTTGTGTGTGTGTGTGTGTGTGTGGAGGTGGGTACTGAGGATGAACTCAGAAGCTCTCCACCAACCGAGCACATCCCCAGCCCTATTTTGTATTTTATTTAGAGACGGGTCTCACTGAGTAGCTTAGTGCCTCATTTTTGCTGAGACTGGCTTTGAACTCACCATCCTCTTGTCTCAGCGTCACCAGCCGCTGGGATTACAGGCATGTTTCACTGCAACCGGCTCCTGCCCTGCACTTCTTCCAGTCTCTACTCGTCACCTAGTTCCAAAGCCACTTCCACATTTTCAGGTATTCGTTATAACAAGAATCCAACTTGTGGTGCTGATTTTCTGACTTAGCTTGTGTGTGTTTCCTGGTGCTAAGAATTGAACTGGGGGCCTTGTGCATGCCAGGCAAGAGCTCTCCCTCTGAGCTATGCCCCAGTCCCTGTGTTCGCCTCTGTTGTTTCTGCTACAGTATGATATAACATCTTGGGTAATTTCTAAAGGAGAGAATTTTTTAATTTTTTTTTTCCTGGAGGCTGGGAGGTCCAAGAAGCCATATCTGGCCAGGGCTGTGGTTTCACCATCTCATGGCAGAAGGTAGAAAGGCAGGAGAGCATTAGAAACAGGGAGGGGGCTGAGACCACTCCAAGGGTCATTATCTACTTCCCCCATGTTGACATTAGTCCACTCAAAAGATTAGAACACTCACGACCTTATCCTCTCTTCTAGTTCCCACCTCTCACAGTTGTTGCTTTGAGAATGAAGATCCCACCACGTGGGGCTGGGGAAGTAGCTCCGTGGTAGAGCGCTTGCCAATATGCACAAGGCTTTGGGGCCTGTCGCAGCACTGGAGAAGAAAAATAAAAAAATACAAACGCGTCAATCTTTAGGAAGAATATGAAAGTCAATCCTGTTTTCCAGGTGGGGGATCTGGGTCTCAGGAGGGGCACCCGTTAATGAAAACCTAGATCCTCGTGAACAGTGCAAAGCCAGTCCTCATCTTGAAACCCCGCCGCTGCGCGCCAGGGTCCTCTTCAGCGCCACCCTCACCTCCTTGTTGCGCAGAGTGTACACCACGGGGTTGAGCAGCGGCGTCACCACCGTGTAGAACACAGCCACCAGGCGGTCCCGGGCGGGGTTCGCCCCGGAGTCGGGCCGCAGGTAGATGATGGAGGCGCAGCCAAAATGCACCACGACCACCGTGAGGTGCGCGGCGCAGGTGGAGAAGGCTCTGCGCCGGCCGGCGGCGGAGCGGATCCGCAGGATGGCCGCCACGATGAAGGCGTAGGACAGGAGGATGAGGAGGAAGGAGAAGAGCACCACCAGCACGCTCAGGAAGAAGATGCCCAGCGCCCTCTGCGCACTGTCTGCGCAGCTGAGCTGCAGCACCGGGGCGATGTCGCAGAAGAAGTGCTCCACGCGGCCTCCGCGGCAGAAGGGCGAGGAGAAGATCATGCAGGTCTCCACCAAGGCCACCGAGAACCCAGAGCAGAAAACCAAGGCTCCCAGGCAGAGGCAAACGGTGGGTCTCATGATCACCGAATAGCGCAGGGGATGACAGATGGCCACGTACCGGTCGTAACCCATCAGGGTAAGGAGGAAGCAGTGGCTACAACCCAAACCCAGGAAGAAGAACATCTGAGCCCGACAGCCAGAGATGGAGATGGCCTGGCTCTCCATCAGCAGGTGGGCCAGCATGTTGGGGATGGTGACCAGCGTGTAACAGGTCTCAGAGAGGGACAGCACCGCCAGAAAGCGGTACATGGGTGTGTGGAGCGTGCGATCCACATGGATGATGGTGATGATGGTGACGTTGCCACTGACGGTGAACAGGTAGGTGAGGAGGAACAACGCGAAGAGTGTGGTCCTCAGGTGCGGAAGGTTGGAGAATCCCACCAGCACGAACTCTGTCACTAGCCATGTCCCATTTCCCCTCTGCTTCTCGGGAGCCTGGGAAGAGAGGACAGTAAATGCACTAAGTAAGCAGTAAATAGAGGAGTCTGCTTGGCCTCAGGTCCGATGGGGTAGCAGAGTCATCCCTGTTTTATAAACAGGACACACACCCAGAAATGGTAAGTCATTTGTTTCCTGGCATCACCCAGTTGACTAGTATCTCCTCAATGAGTAAGAAAATCATAGGAACAAATAAGGAGAAGATGCTGGGGGGTGGGAGGAAGGCAGTGAGAACATTGTTATCTTAGTTTAAAGTCCCCAGAAAGGGATCCTAGATAAGGATTCGAGAGTAAGAGTAAATCGTTTCTGGGCACAGTGGTGCATGCCTGAAATTCCAGGGACTCCCCAGGCTGAGACAGGAAAATCTCAAGTTCTAGGCAGCCTCAGCAGCTCAGCAAGTCGCTATAGGGGGAAAAGAAGGTAAATCATGTGGAAGTCATCCAACAAACCAGAAAAGAGAAAGCAGTGGCCTCTCGGGGCAACTGGAGCCTAATGTGACCTGTGGCACCTGAGAAGGTTGAGGAACACACAGCTCACTGTTAGCCCACCCGAGGGGTGAGGGGCGAGGGGGTTCATGCATGAACCCCACCTCCCCTTAGTCATTGGTTGCATGTTTCTCCCAGCTGATGTTCATTTCCAGGAGGTCATTGTGTTAAGTGAAATAAGCCAGGCACAGAAGGGGAAATGCTACCCGATTTCTGTCATATGTGGAGCTAAAACAATTGAATTCATACAAGCTGAGACTAAAGCTGGGTGCGGTAATGCACGGCTATAATCCCAGTGACTTGAGAAGCCAGGGCAAGGGGATTGCAAGTTCAAGGCCAGCTCAGCAACTTACCAAAACCCTGTTACAAAACAAAACAACAACAACAACAAAAAGGGCTGGGCATGCAGTTCAGCGGCAGAGCACCCCTGGGATCAATCCCCAGTACCAGGGGTGGGGGATGGGAGGTTGAGGGGGAACAGAGGCTAGAATGGTGGTTGCCAGAGATGGGGAGAGTTTTGGGGAGATGTTGTTCAATGAGTGCAAATTTCATTAGGAGGAACAGTTTGAGGAGATCTATTGTGACCTATGGCTTCTGAGAAGGTTGAGGAACACACAGTTCACTGTTAGCCCACAAGGTGGCCGCAGTAGTCTTACAAACCCTTGAGACTATATTGTGTGTTCTCACCACAAAAATGATAGCCACGTAAGGTAGTGCATTTGTTAATCAGCTGAATTTGGCCATTCCACATTGTATATCTATTTCAAAACATCATGATGTACACAATAAATATATGCATTTTTACTTGTCAATTGAAATAAATATATGGTTTCTTAAAAGAGTAAACTGGCTTAGGAGCACAGTGTGTCTTTTTTTTTTTTTAAAGAGAGAGAGAGAGAGAGAGAGAATTCTTTAATATTCATTTTCTAGTTTTCGGCGGACATAACATCTTTGTTTGTATGTGGTGCTGAGGATCATACCTGGGCTGCACGCATGCCAGGCAAGCCCGCTACCGCTTGAGCCTCATCTCCAGCCCCCACAGCATGTCTTTACCTCCTTTGAGACAGGAAAGGTGCGGAGACAGAGGGACTGGATATTTGTGCCATCTAGTGGCCTTGGAAGTAATATGCAAACCCAGTGACACTTGTAGGGAGAGAAAAATTTAAATGACTGTGCATCTTAAAAATATTCATCAGCAGGGGCTGGAGCTGGAGCTGTGGCTCAGTGGTGGAGCACTTGCCTGGCATGTGTGAGGCACTGGGTTCAATTCTTGGCACTGCATATAAATAAATAAAAGGTCAACTAAAAAAAATAAATAAAAAATTCATCAGCAGCAGTGGGATGATGGATATTTAAATTATGACTTAACTTTTTGAGAAATTAGTTGACATTTTCACTTGGGAAACATAAGTTTTAAATTTTAGTTCTGAAGAACTAAAGTGAGTAAAACATCTAAAAATGTTAAGGAGCCTCTAGATATTCTGGTTATGAAGAAAAGACAAATGAGGACTGTGGAAGAACTTCACAGGAGAAAAGGCAGCAAAGAGGGATGCCCATTTTTCCTGAAGAGAGCAGATCCAGGAAGCAGGAAGCAGGCAGCCATGTGGATCTAGCACTGGTGGGTAATTATTTTCAGCCAGGGCTGGCTTTGTGGGCTGCCCAATCTTTGTTTCAGCTCTGTCATTGTAGTGTACACACAGTCGTACTGTGTTATGGAAATGAGTTTCAATCAGGCTTTATTTTTATGAAAAGTCAAGGAGCTGAATTTGGCAGTCATACTGTAGTTTGCTAAGCCCTAATCTAGCACAAGTAGGAGGAACTTCAGTCAGATTCTCTGAGGAATGTAATGAAAAACCCCAAAGCCTGACGTTTTTTTAAAAAAATTGAATTGGGAGTTCATAACCAACTTGAATCTAATGTATGAAATATGATATGTCAAGAGCTTTGTAATGTTTTGACCAACCAATAAAAAAAAAATTGAGATGAGGTCTCAAATTGCCCAGGCTGACCTCCAACTCCTGTGCTCCAGTGATCCACTTTGCCTCAGCCTCTTGAATAGCTGGGACCATGGGTCCATGCCTGGCTCAAAGACTGACTTTAAATGTTTTAAACTTTATTTTCCAATACTGGGGATCAAATCCAGGGCCTCGTGCATGCTGGGCCAGTTGACTACCACTGAGCCATATCCTCAACATTTTTTTTTTAAGGTACCAGGGATTGATTTTTTTTTTTTTAAGGTGCACCTGTCCACTGAGCCACATCCCCAGCCATATTTTGTTTTGTATTTAGAGACAGGGTTTCACTGAGTTGCTTAGTGCTTTGCTTTTGCTAAGGCTGGCTTTGAACTCTTGATCCTCCTTCCTCCTGAGCTGCTGGGATTATAGGCCTGCACCACTGTGCCCAGCTATCCTCAACATTTTTAGTTTTTTTTATTTTGAGCCAAGGTCTTGCTCACTTGCCCAGGCTGGCCTCAAACTTGTGATCCTCCTGTCTCAGCCTCCCAAGTAGCTGGGATTACAGGTGTACACCACCACAACTGGCATAAATCTTCAGAGAATAAAGGCAGTGATCACTAAAACCAAAACGAACACACAAAACTAAATAAACAGAACACATGAACAAACAAACAAAACCGCCCAGGGTCACTCTCCACATTTGCAGAGTTCAAATGAAGGCCCATATGCCATGGGACTGAATATTTAAAGCTAAAAATAATGCTAGTCCAGTGCACTTGTAGTCCCAGCTACTTGGGAGGCTATGACAGGATTTGATTGATCCCAGGTGTTTGAGGTTAGCCTGGCAACATAAGTGAGACCTGGTCTCAAAATTGATCAATCAATCAATCAAACAAATAATCTCTTAGTTATATGAAACATGTTCTAACTCCCTACATTGAAAAACATATTTTTATAATAACCAAATGCCAGATTCAAATATGGAGTTCCGGGTCTCTTTAGAGGTCCACAGCAGAAGATGGTGGTGATATCTGAAGCACCCTGAGCCTGTTCCTGTTCCTGACCCATGGTCTGTCCCCTTCTTTTCCCACCCCAGACTCCAGCCAGCACTCCAGGGGCCTCACATTTACCCGCACAGGCACCTGCAGGCTGCAGCCTCCACCAGCAGCCACTGCCTGGCCACATCCAGGGCACACACACCAGCAGTGTGGGCCACGGCAGAGGGATGGACCCAAGCAAGGGGTGCACTCTCAGATCTGATGGTGGCTGGCAGCCACCTAAGCAGGCAATTGTGGAGTTCTATGCAGCACTGATTACACAGGCGTGCAAGCTCAAGGTCAACACATACTCTTGGCTTTGTGGAAACTGTGTGCCTTGGGGTGGGATAGGACAGAAGAGGGTCAGAGTAGAGTACCTAGAAGCATCACTAGCAGGGCAGAGGCCCCTGTTGCCCAAGGCTAACAGTAGGCAAGAGGAAAAATGCAAATGTTCGATACCATTTGGAGGAAAGATATTTAGTTTTGTGATAATCAAAGAAATGCAAGATGAAACAAGATAGCTTGTTCTGGGGGCTGTGGTTGTAGCTCAGTGGTAGAGTGGTTGCCTAGCATGTGTGAGGCACTGGGTTTGATCCTCAGCATCACATAAAAATAAATGAATAAAATGAAGGTATTGTGTTCATCTACAACTAAATTTTTTTTAAAAAAGATAGCTTGTTCTTCAGAATTAAACCTAAGGGTTATTATAGGACCCAGCATTGCCACTCCTCCGTATAGACCAAAAAAAATTGAAGACAGTTTTTTGAACACGAACTTCCACACAGATGTTTATAGCAGCACCACTCACAAGCACCTCGCTGGTAGAAATGACCCAAATGTCCATCAGCTGGTGAATGGATAAGCAAATGGGCAATCCAAAAATGAAGTATGATTATTTCCATAAAACCACAATGTTCTAATACCTGTCACAACTCAATAGAAATGTGATGCTCCGTGAGAGAAGCTGGACACCAAAAGCCACATATTGCATGATGATGTGAAAGTTATGTGTGGGGACCTTTGGGAGTCAGGAGAATTTTCAACAGCCGAATGGTGCTTCTTGGAGAATCAGAACCAGGCTGATGGGGTCTGAGCTTTTAGTTGTCATATAAGAAAGGGGTGCTTTACGAATTCTCACAGCCTCCCTTCAGGAATAAATCAGCCCTGGTCGAGCATCTTAAAGCAGGGGATTGAGTAGAAAAGCCCCTTCCATACATACTCCTGCATCACGTAGGCGTGAACTCTAGTACAATATTCCAGGCTTCACTATTTTACCCAGGCTGGTATTGAACTTTCAGCACTCCTGATTTCCTAGTGGCTGGGATACAGGTGCTATGAATTTTTTTTTTTTTTGCTCTCTGACAAAAAAAAAATATAAAATAGCTGGACTTTTAATTTTATTCTTTACTGGAGAAGCATGGAATAGAAGGAATGATTTGTTCCTATCTCCCAGTCACAGCACCAGGATTTGAACCCATGTGTCTGGCTGCTGTGTCTCTGGCAGCTGCGCTCTAAGGGCTGTGAGTCTCGCAGGCTCGTCTGTCACTCTACGCACCACACATGCTCATTGAGCATCGGCTCTGTGCCAGGTGCTACTCTGTGCACTGAGGACACAGCAGGGAACTACACAGGCAGAGATGGCAGTCCTAGAGGAGGACAGGAGCTAGTAGAGGGAGTCGGCAATGAGGAAAGTAAGGAAAGTAAGATGTAGAGTAGGAGAGAGGTACAGGAAAGGAAGAGGAAAGAGCAGAGGGCTGAAAGGAAGTATTTGGAAATTTAACCCTCAGTCTGTACAATTTTTCTTCTCTAGCCTGGGGATGGACAGGGAGGTTCTGTAGCTGTGCAAAGACCCCAAATTCACACCTAAAGGAAATGAGAAAATTAATGGGGAGGCTATGTGGGGCATTCCCGTTGGAGGTACCAGCCTGTGCAAAGGCCCAGTGGCTGGACAGGAGCAGCCAGGAGAACACACAGGTAGAAAAAAAATGAGTGAGAGGAGGAAGGCAGGAGCAGGCAGGTGACAGAAGAATGTGGTGAAAGGTCTTGAGGGCCACAGGGATGACTGTGGCATTGACTAGGTATGAGGTGAGAGCCATGCAGGGTTCTAGGCAGAGGGATCCTGAGTCAGGGGCCCTTTGCCAGGGGTCAGCGGAGGTCTCCGTTCATCTCAGGGGGAGCTGGAGAGCGGGTGCACTCATTATGGAAATCCAAAGGGGTACAAGGTGCCCCTCTCTACTCTCACCTTGGAGGTGGCATCTGTTTCAGCCACTGCCGCCGCCCGGGAGACAAGGAAGGAAGAAGAGGGGAACTGGCTGTGGCGGGGGTTTTCCCCTGCAGTGGCTGAGGACTTGCGATGCTGAGTCTGCCTCAACATGTCTGGAGTCCTCCGTCCAATCCTTGCACTGGGGAGACTGTTAGTCCAAAGGACACGAAGAGCAGTTCTTGCTTTCATAGTACCCACTGACAGATCCTCAGGACAGCTGTCCGCCTGGTGGGTAAGTTCCCAGTGAGCTGCTGAGTTCAGGAACCTGGCCCATGCCACCTCTTGGTGCCAGCTAGAGGGGCCCAGGTGTGCTTCCTAAGACCTAGTGGAGCCCCAAAGAAAAAGAGAGTGGCATGAGGGGCTCGAGTCCTTCTTTTCTTCTTCTTCATCATCATGGATTGAACCCATGGGCAATTAACACTGAGCCACATCCCCAGCCTTTTTTTTTTGACTTTTAATTTTGAGATAGGGCCTAGCTAAGTGGCTGAGGCTGACTTTGAACTTGCATCCTCCTGCCTCAGGCTCCCAAGGATTACAACTGTGCACCCAGATGGAGTCCTCCCTTTTCCTCTTCTTATCAGGAAGCCCCCCCCAAAGCCAGGAACCCCTTCCAGCTCCTCGATCCTTCACCCTACACGATTCTACAAGTGTGTGTGTGTGTGTGTGTGTGTGTGTGTGAGAGAGAGAGAGAGAGAGAGAGAGAGAGAGAGAGAGAGAGAGAGAGGGAGAGAGAGAGAGAGATTGGGGTGGAATGGAGTGGGGAATGTGTGTGCCCAGGAGTGTGCACATGTATTTCTGCCCTGAAGCTCCAGGGTCCAACAGGCTCTAACCACACCAGAACACTGCGCCACCTGTTGCTGACTCGTCACCTGTGTGCCAGGTCTCTGCGTCTGGCAGTGGGTGATCTTGGAGGGGTCACTTTGGCTTTCTTCAGATACTCCGCCTTCCTTCCTGGCCAGATGTCATATATTCCTGCACCGGACATGCTGTGCACTTCAAAAACCAGAATTGAACACCTTTCCGGCAATCTCCCTCCAAATCAATCACAGCCCTGTGGTTTGGGGTGAATATTCTGACCCTCTGCAATGTCACTCTCCCCGCACTCAGTTTTGAATCTCAGTCTTAAGGCCCAGGTTGGGCCAAGGTGGCTTCTCCAGCCCTGAGGTCACACTCACCATAGTGCAGGAAGGCTCACACTGTCCCTGCCAGCATCCCTGTGCCTGAGAAGGGAGGGGCTGAGGAACCTGGTCCTGATACTGTGAGGGTCTCTGGAGCTGCCACCCCAGGGGACCCTCAAGTCACTAACAAGCCCCCCAGAGCCTGGCTGTTGATGCCTGAGGGCTTTTTGGCTCTGGAGACTAGAGACCCCAGGGCCTGCTTCCTCAGCACCCAGCCCCTGAAGGCTCAGAGCAGGGGAAGGACTAATTGGCACTTCCCCTTGTGATGGCAGTCACACGCGCACGCTCAGCGCATCAATGGTCCTGGTCCCCAGGAGTGTCCAACCTGAGCTGGGCAAGCCTGCTTCCTCAAGGAAATGCAGCCCCAGGCCCTGCTGTCCCTGGGAGGAAGAAGTTGATGCTTCAAATCATGACACAGACACTGCCCAGGCCCTTTCTCCTGAGGGCAAGGGGACTCCACTCCACTGCTGGCCTCTGGAAGGGCATAGAACCTTCACGGACGGGGGTGGGGTGGAGGGTGAGCGAGCTGACAGGAGCCTGCAGCACAGTGTGGGACAGGCGTGGTGAAGGCCCATCTCCTGTCCAGTCCCTCATCTTAGGAAGATATCCGTTTTTTCCTTCCAGTTGTGGCTTGTTCCTAGGTGCTGGTTTTGCAGCTTGGACATCCTCTTCTCTCCCTCTTTTGTTGGATCTTTCTAAATTCTTTTTCTGTGTCTTCTTAGACAACCATGTGTTTTTGTCCTTTATTTTGTCAATGCAGCGTGCTCTATTGGTTGATTTTTGAGTGTTGAATGGTCCTGTGTTCCTGGGATAAATCCCACTAGGTTACTGTGTATAATCTGTTTTTCTTTCTTTTCTTTTTCTTTCTTTCTTTTTTTTTTGGGTGGGGGGAGTACAGGGATTGAACTCAGGGGCACTCGACCACTGAGTCCCATCTCCAGCTCTATTTTGTATTTCATTTAGAGACAGAGTCTCACTGAATTGCTTAGGGCCTCACTTTTGCTGAGGCTGGCTTTGAACTCGACATCCTCCTGCCTCAGCCTCCGGAGCTGCTGGAATTACAGACATACACCACCATCCTGGGCTATAATCTGTTTTATATGGTGCTCAATTTGACTTTCTGGTGTTTTGGGAGGATGTTTTGCATCCATATGAATAAGAGATCTTGGTCTATAATTTTCTTTCTTATGATACCTTTGGTTGTCATGAGAAAAGAGATGTCTTCAGAAGGGGGTCCAGAGGGATTCCTAGAGAAGAGGGGACTCTACTCTGGACTAGTGGGATCCTTGACATACCCCGTGAAGAAGAATCTCAGCACACACCAGTAAGGGTACCGAGGTTTATTTAGGAAAGCAAGGAACACACATTCAAGGGAGAATGTGGGCCACCTCAAGAGTGAGAGATATTTTTGGGGTTCCGGGCCTTCTTTGAAAGGAAACTTGGGGAGAGGTGGGCATGGGAGATGAGGATGACCCCAGTCTGATCATTCTCAGGATCCATGACCTGATCAGTAGGTGATGATGGAAAAATCCCCTAAATTATAGGTTTTCTTAAAACATCCTCTCTCTCTTTACTTAATCTATTTATTGGTGAGCTAATTAATGGTGTATAGATAATTTTTGTAAATGGGTGAATTTATGGTATCTTTAAGATTTACAGGTTTTGCAGAGTTTGGGAGCGATGGGTCTGGAAGAGAGGCTGGCTTGGATGCAGAACCTTAGATTAAAATTGTATTTCCTTGTTCTTCATTTCTACCTAGTGTGTGTACGTGTGCGTTGCTGGGAACTGAACCCAGGGCCTCATGCATGTCAGGCAAGCACTCAACCACTGAGCCCCATTCCCAGCGCCTCTATTTGATTTTTTAAATCCTACCTCAGGGTTTTGATACCAGGGTGATACTATACTGGGCCTCATAGAATGAGTAGGAACATGATCTCTCCTCTTCTATTTTTAAGGAGATGTTGTGAAGGATTGGTATTAATTCTTCTTTAAATCTTTGGTGAGAAATCAACCAGTGGTGCTATCCGGTCCTGGATTTTCCTTTGGTGGGAAAATTTTTATTACCAATTTTTAAAATTGTTATGGGTCTGAGCTATGCGCAGTGGCCTATGCCTGTAATCTCAGCAACTGGGGAGGCTGAGGCAGGAGGATTGCAAGATTGAGGCCAACCATAGCAACTTAGTGAGAACTTGTGTCAAAATAAATAAATAAATAAGGGCCAGGGATATGGCTCAGTGGCTAAGTGTCTTTCAGTTTAATCTACAGTACCTCTAAAATTAAAAATATAAATAAATTAATAAAAATTTATAAGTCTGTTTGGATTTCCGCCCCTTTCTTCTTGAGTCAGTTTTGGTATCGTGTGTCTTCCTAGGAATTTGTCCATTTCATCTACCCTATCTAATATTTTGGTGTGCAATTGCTTTACTTATTGTGTTTTTTTTTTTGTTTATTTGTTGAGAAGGGGGTCTCACTACATTGCCCAGGCTGGCCTTCCACTCCTGGGCGCACGCCGTCCTCCATCTCAGCCTCCTGAGCAGCTGCCTGCCTGTTGTGCAGTTGGTCCCAGCACTCCATCATAGGCCCTTTTTATTTCTAAAGATCAGCAGTAATGATCCTCTTTCAATTCTGGTTTTCAAAAATTAAGTCTTCTCTGTTTTCCTGCTAGATAGAGCTTTGTCAATTTTGCTGATCTTTTAAAATAAGTTGTTTCTAATTATTTTCTTTATTGCTTTTCTATTGGTGTTTTGTTAATTTGCACTTTAATTTTTATTTTTTACATTTTCTGCCTTTTTGTGTGTGTGTAAGAGAGAGAGAGACTGAGTAAGGATTGAACCCAGGGGCACTCCACCAATGAGCTACATCCCCAGCTGTTTTAAATTTTATTTTGAGATAGGGTCTCCCTAAGTTTCTATCTTTCTGACTCAGCCTCCCCAGTAGATGGGATTATAGGCATGTGTCATCATGTCCAGCCCAAGTAATGCTTTATTGTCCATCCTCCTAAAGTATGCCTTTTAATTGGAGAGTTTAATCTATTTACATTGCGGTCATTGCTGATAAGTTAGGAGTTGTGTTCAGCATTTTGCTATTTGTTTTCTGAATATCATTTCCTGCCTTCAGTTCATCCATTATATCTTCCTTGGTATAGGTATTTTCTAGTGTACTATTTTAATTCTCTTGTCATTTATTATTATCCTTGTTTTGGTATAAGGTATTGAACCCAGGGGCGCTTAACCACTCAGCCACATCCTCAGCCCCCCCCCCCCCTTTTTTTGTATTTTATTTAGACACAGGGTCTTGATGAGTTGCTTAGGGCCTTGCTATGTTGCTGAGGCTGGTGTTGAACTCTCCACCCTCTTGCCTCATCCTCCAGAGCTGCTAGGATTACAGACATGTGCCACGGTGCCCAGTTTATCATGTATTTTTGAGTCATTGTCTTAGTGATTACTCTGGAGATGACAATAAGCCTCTTAGTTGATAAAAATTTAGTTTAGATGAATGCCAACTTAATATCAACAGGAGTGTGTGTGTGTGTGTGTGTGTGTGTGTAATATTTCAGGCAGGCATTCGAAGAAGCAAAGGTAATAATTCAAGCTGAAGCAGCTTGCATTTCTCCCCCAACGTGTGAAGTGAAACATCTTGAGCACAGCAGATGCCCTACATATTCCTCCTCACTTTCACACATCGGGATGGGACGGGGGCCACTTGGGATGCTGGGCCTTGGTAGCCAGCTGCAGGTTGCCGTTGTCCTCACGATCACCAGGGTGCACAGCGGTACTCTCTGTGGGCTGCGTCACCAGTACCGTTTAGATACAACCACTCAATAAATTCCATGAGACACTCTTTTTGTTAGTTCTGCCCAACTGCAAGACTATGGAAGTGTTCTGAGCACATCTAAGGCCCATGTTTAGTAGGTAGGTTAAACAGATTTGGGGA